TAATTTTTTTATTAAAATTGAAAATTGGAGCAAAAGATATTCTAGAACTTTTTAATTTTTAAATTAAAAATTCATAATTAATAATTATTAAAATTGAAATTACAAAAGTAATTGATATTTAGTTAGATATGGATTCAATTCCAATTACTAATAAACCACTGTGACCAGGGTATCATTCTTTATATAAGTATTAGTATTTATTAGAGTGGTTCATTCTGTACACACAAAGCTGGTCCATCCTGTACCACATGGTAGTTGGACACTAAAACGGACATGCCAAATAAATTAAAAAGGATAAAGGTGTCAAATCAACACTATCGTGTTCAGAAAGCATTATTTTATAGAAACTGACAAAAAAACAAAAACATACCGCTCGAAATTTTTCTAAAACACTCAAAAAGAAACAGACGAATATTTCACTTTTTCTCGCAAAAAAAGGAAAAGTGAAACAGTTAAATCGGCTACTAAAAACATTTAATAAAATTTACATCTGGTTATAGAAAGCCAAGAGACGTATATGAATTTAAATTTTAAAAAAATGTTAGCGCATGTTTACTATTTTTAATTTCGAAGGTCCTTTCGGTACCTGGTCCATTCGACCCCAGTCTCCCCTACATTGAAAATGAGATGCTGCCGTGAAACATGCAACGCATTTCAAATGCAAAATGTTTCATAAGGTAACGCACGATATTTCAATTTTTCATGTTCCATGTTTTCGCGAGCTACAATCCTCTGAAATCAATAACACACACGCACGCAAGCACACACACAAACACACGCACGCCCACGTGCACACCATACGCACAACACATACGCACGTGTAATCGTCAGCCGGTAAAACAACTTCGCATTCGCACATTATTCCCTCATGCCATCTGTAAGCTCTGAATTTTCAAGACATAAAATAAATGTTAAATTCAATAAAAAAAAAACAAGTAGATTCCTCAGAAATGAGTGAGTCGTTTGGCTTGTTCAGTCATGTAACCATCGGCAACATCATAATTGAAACATCCGTGGAAGATAATGTAGCATGGAAGGTTGCATGGAAGGTTAGTTACGTTACAAACATCTATTGGAGTTTAGGATTTTTTCTAATCAAAAAATTTATGCAATGGAGAAACAGTGTTCGATAAATTAAAATTTCAAAATTTGATACATAACACTAATTAACTAGGAATAGTTAAGTTAATGTTATAACTCAACCGTTACTGCTGATGTCATAACTCAACAGTTAATGTTATTACACAAACAATTAACGTTACAACTTAACAAATAATGTTATAACTAACAATTAATGTTATAACTTGAGATTTAAAAATAACATCACTATTGAAACAATAAAAACAGCAATTACATTAACAACAACAACAACAACAATAATAATAATAATAATAGTATTAGTGGCAAAAAGGCGATTGCGCAAGTAGAGTAAGAATCACATTTAAAATGACCTAGTTGTCCAATCCAATATTTATAAAACGGGATCGAACATCATTATCACCATCACCGTCATCATCATCATAACTATCAACATAACCACCATAACCACCATCATCATCACCATAACCATCATCATCATCACCATCGTCATCACAAAAAATATAAAAAAGAGTTAGTCATTTTGTTATCAGAGAGACATCAAAAAAGCAATGATAAAAATAAAAACGTTTCAAGTACATCACACCAGCGATGAAATATTATGAGACGGTGATATAATATGATGAGCAGTTACGATGATGATGATGACGACGATGACGAAAGTGATGACAATTATGATGACGATGAGTATGAAAGTGATGACGACAATGATGATTGCTATGACATCTTCTCGTTTATAATACATTGTGAAAAATAAAGCAATACAAAAAATTATAAAAAAAAACTGTGAAACAGTATAAAAGTTTGAACATATCATCAGCATGATATTCCAACTGACTCCAACATTCAAGCCTACACCCATGCAATGCACGCATGCATCATGCAAATGCATGCATGCATCATGCAAATGCATGCATACATTCATGAATCATGAAAATGCATTTAAATACCAATAAAAAAATTTTTCTTGTTAATGTAATTGAAACTTATTTTTCACGAAAGGCAGTGATGGATGGGAATAAGATATTATTCAATTTGAAACCAGCTGTCCTGCACTCACTGATCAATAAGCATGAAAAAACTGCTATCAGAATATCAATCCATACCTCATTATCATTTCGTCATCATCATCATCATCTTCGTCATCATCTCTTCATCATCATCATCATTTGTCACCATCATCATCGTCGCCATCAGAATCACCTACACAATATCAATGTTATCATCTTCCCCGTACACTTATGTGACAAAATAAAACATTTCCGTTTAAAAACTAATTGAGAGAAGGAAACAAATAAGGAAGTCAGAGGGTGGAATGAAGAAAACATTCAAAACGATGGAGGAATCTTCAGCCAGGCAGGACAAATACGATCCATCCATTCTGCCTGACAGTTGGAGAATGAAACTCAAACACAACCTAACAAACAATAAATAACTTGAGGAGAAAACAACAACATTAACAACAATAAAAACATTAACAACAACATTAACAGCAACAACAATAAAAACAAACAAACACGTCACTCACACACACACACACACACACACACACACACACACACACACACACACACACACACACACACACACACACACACACGAAAACAACGTTGATAACATATTGCCTGATCAATTCAACAAATTAACCAACATCCCCAATCACCATTCATACGCTGTCTAATAATTTGTCTTCTCAGTTAATATCTTCACTATACATGCAACGCATCACACACACACACACACACACACACACACACACACACACACACACACACACACACACACACACACACACACGCGCGCGCGCGCGCGCGCGCACACACACACACACCTACTTTAAAATTCACACAAACACACAGAGAAGCAAACAGATATATCCACAAACACACACACAAACACAAACACAGACATGCACGCACACGCATATATATTAAGTATGATCCATTGTAAAAAGTCCCAATTACAAAAATGACAAAAACCGTAACACGTGTAGTAATCCGCGGTCAGCTTGCCTTCATTTGCCTTCATTTGAACGGCAATAACGTTTAAAGTTTCATAGTTGCAACCATATAACAATATTTTCAGATTAAACATTAATTCGCTCACTTAAGCAAATAAATAAACCATATTAGTGAACATAAAATATATTTTTTTATATTTAAACTTTAATTTTTTTAAATAATTTTATAATTAATATTTTAAATAATTGAATTTTTTTTTATATTTATATTTTATATTTAATTAAATTAATTCAATCATGCCAATCAATCATGCCAAACCAGCCATTCAGCCATTCCCCGAGACATTCACTGAATGATAAAAATTAATATGGCATTCTACCCGACCGAAGAACACCAATGATAAAAACCAAATCCAACTCACATCTCTGGCCACGGCAGACCTGATGGCACCCATCCACTCCTCCATCTCTCTTCGACTGTCAGCGCATATTATCAAATTGCGAGATGGCGTGATCACCTGGTTGTTAAAATCCACGTTCATGTTATGTTAATCACGGTGGTGATTACGTCGAAACGGCACAAGTGAAATCATTTCAAATGAAAACACACATCAGATTGATGAAGCTTCAAAGTAGCATACCAACAAATAATCGCAAATTAAGTGGTAAGATGTTTATATTTTATATTTACTCCAATAAATTCTCTCACATAGACATTCACATTTTCTTTCTAACTTATCTTATTTATTCATTTGGTTCATGCCTAATTTTCAGCACTTCATAGACGAACATATCATGTTGTCAGCAGCCCGGAAAACGGATGTACGTTGTTAACATCTACTGAAAAGCCTCCTTTCTTTCCACTTAATTTTCACAAATCTTAAGCCTCATCACTTGGCGAACGTCAAAAGCTATCAGAATATTCTCTTTACGAATTCGAACCTGGTCACTGATGGCACCTTAGGATCAGGCGTCTTCAACCACTACGACATGTCGGCCAAATAAGGTCATATGTAAATCGCACGGAAGATTTTTTATTTGAAATACAACATACAAGTTTGAAAATATAAATTTTTTTTTAAAATGTTTAAAAACATTCGTTTTAAAACATTGTTTACATGTACTGGAAATTGACAGATTTTGAGTGATATATATTTGTTCAAGCAGTTTCATGCTGTGCTTCTTTCATTCCGTCTGCGTGTCATCCTCTTCTCCTCCTTTTGCTTGTTGTTACTCTTCACTGAATCATTCCTTCATTCCTTCCATTTATTAATCAGAAATGTTCATCACGTTGCACCCGCTAACAATGTCCAATCTCAAATAATTCATCTATCAAGAAGAAATCCAATTGAAAATCTTTCAAAACCTTAAAAAACTTGAACTGAAAATGTACACAAACAAAATATCTAAATAATAATGTTGCAGTAACGCAAACTTTCAATTTTTACAAACTCCTTACAATGTATAACAAAGATTTTATTCTTTAAAAAATTTGTTAAAACGAAGTAATCATAATATCTTTTATTTATTGTCTCGATGAGAAAAGTAAGAGAAAATAGCCGCATAGCCTGCCAGCGACAAAATCATACGAACAAACATCCCAGCAGCATCACAAACACAGTTGATTAAAAAATGAAATGCCATCAATGACACCAAACATTGTCATGCATGTCCAAAAATAAGAAACAATTTGTTTGCCTGTTAGAATCTTTTGAAAATAATTTCTGAGAGCTCGTTATTGCAACCCTTAATAAGTGTTGTTTGATGTTAAAAATAATTGATTAGCGTTGAACTAAAAATGTTTGTTGGGGTAATATTTTGAAATTGCTTGGGAATTTAAAAAATTACAAAACTGTAACATTTCACATGTTCTTCTAAAAGAACCATTTTTGCTTTTAAAAAACTTTCAATCGATATTTGATGCATAACATTGAAAATTTGCTTTGAAACATGTACACACAATCTGCACTACATAGTTCAGCCATAAATACAGAAAAAACATCCATAAAACCAAAAAAGTCTAACATATAAATACAAAAACATTCAAACATATGAAACCAAACATGAAAACACATGAATACACAAACATCCAAGCATACGAAACCAAACCAAACATTCGAACATATGAACGCACAAAATAAAAGTCACGTATGCGCATTTACTAGCAAAAACGCAAACCTGAAAACTGTGGTTGATATTTTTCAGACTACACTCTGCAATTGTCGTGTCTATGAGAGCGATTTGGTTGAATATTGTGGACTGCAAAACGGGGATTTTGAAATTATGTGATTTGAATAATGGTTTATAATGTTCAACATTAATTTGAATGAAAAACTTGAGAAAAATAAAATGAACAATACCAAATAAAATGAATCAGAGAGTAGGAATACAGTGCAACCTTAAGAGAAAAAATTATAAAACAACAAATGCACGTTATAGAAAAATGATTGAAAAATTACTAATGACCATCATAAGCTTATATATTAGAGCACAAAGAAAAGATAAGAAAGGCTGACCATATGATAACTTACTTTGTTATCGGTGGAGTAGTAGAGGGAGCCAGCGTGCAACTTGAAATATCGTTTGACGAGGCGCTGTGTGTGCAAATGTTTTATGCAACCTTTCAACCATTTTTGATGAAATTTTGAAAAAAAATTGTATAAAAATAAGCAAATAATAATAAAGTAATTTGTAATTACGGAACAGTATTTTCATGATATGGCGACTGACTGGTCGAAATTAAATTTGTTAACGATATTTATTTAAACAAAAATATTATATTTCAAAATATTTTTATGCTCAAGATGTTTTTTTACAACCAGAAAATATTTTTTGTAATGATGTTATGAAATTTGTGAACCTCTTCGCATGAATGTGGAATGATTAAATTTAAACTAAATTATTAGCTAGGTAGTTTTATATTAAGTGTGTCAAAACATTTTAAATGAAAAATTTTTACTAAAATCATCATTATGCGTTCAACCATTAAACTAGTTTTCCGCCTGCAAAAAACATGGCAGGCACATACATGCTGAGTCAACTGTCAACAATCTTGTTTTGAAAACATGCTAAAATTAGCAAGCCATGTAAATGCCAATAGGTTGTTAAATGTGAAAGAAGCGACGTCCATCAAAGCAGTGCCAGTACGTGCAAGCACCTGCAAATGCATCTGTAGTAATTATTTTGCAAAAATAATTGGCTTTTTTGTAAACTGAGCTTATGAAACATTTTCCATTTTTACCAAAAACAGTACCATCAATCAACCATTGGAACATTTTTATATAGCGCAATTTCTGAAATGCAAGTGCCTCGGACATGATTGGCAAATTAAAATGACAATAAAATTTATGAAAATAATAGTAATGATACTAGCAATAACAAAAACAACAATTAAAAAATGAAAAATAATAAATAGTAAAAAAATGATCTTCAGCTAATTAATAAATGACCCTACAGTTGTATGCATCACCCACCATCTGAAAACTTCTACACAACGTGCAATGGATTACTTACTGTTCGTAAGGATCACAACCTGGCACTACTTCACAGGTTCCATTCATACCAACAAATAAACACACGTAACCAAATATGTTGAACTGTTTCTCATCTGATTCCACTAATCTACTTACATTATTTGCAGAAACTGAGTTAAAATTTAATTCATGGTGCAAAAATTGACTTGCACATACAAAAACGCTCAACTAACTCACCTATAGCGTGTGTTATAACAGAACCATTTTGTCACTAACAACCAATTACTCAGTGTTTAATAAATCGCTTTGTTTTTTGGAAAGAGCAGAGAAAAAATATTAGTTGTCAATATTTTTAAGCTTCAACAGTGGAAACAAACTTTACGATTGCCAAAAAATGGAAGACCGAGTGAATAAAGTACAAATAGACGGATATTTAAAGAGTTCATTAATAAAATGAATGCCAATTCAGAGTCGGTTTCAAACATGAGATTAGCGCACAGTGCGCTTTTAAGTACAGCAATCAACATCTACAAGTTTTATCAAAACAATTGTGTAAAAATTTAACAACCAAAGGTAAAAGAAAAAGCAGCTTTGTAGATTAATAATCTTGTGTTTGCATGTAGAAACATTTAATAAATATTTTGTGAAAGTTCTTGAAAATCAATATTAAATTAATTTCCATTTTACACTGCTTATGAAAAAAGAGCAATAGACAGCAATACTGTTGACGGTAATTATTTTTCTCTGAATTTTTTTTAAGATGGCGTTTTTTGGAAAATAAATGTGTGTAACAATAGTAATTAATAATATCTTGATACAAAAAATAAATGCTAAATAATGCGATAAAATCACATAATTTTGTTCAGTTAGTTTTAAAATATAAAATTTTACATGGAAAAACAATTACATTGACTGATTTTAAGTGTTTTTAAAGTATTTTCTATTCACTAGTGACAATAAAGTGAAATTATCATGCAAAAGTTGAAAATTTTTTTGGGAGTAGGAACTTGGAGTCGGAATTGGGAGTAGGAGACAGAAATTTTTACCCGAAGTCGGATACTTTTCATCCGACTCCGACACTCTGATATTATTAATAATCGCAGAGAGTGCAGGTGCGTACATCCTATGATTGTTTCCAGTGTTTCTATGTGAAAAGGTCGCCAGCAAATGATCGCCGGACGTTAGGTCGCCAAGCATTAAGATTGCCCGACAATAAGGTTGTATATGGTAGAAAGGTTAAAAATGTGCCATTACTAAAAGTATGATGAATTCGACAACACGGTCAACAAAACGATGTTCTAAGGAATAATGTTTTATTTTTCAAGATTATGACGTCGACAACAAAAATAAGTGATCGCTGGTCTGTACAAAACTTAATGAAAATTTTTACATGAACACATGAGGGTTTCCATAAATTCTATCATTGAAATTCAAACTATGTGCAATACCACGTAAATAATCGATATTATTAATCTGGCCGAAACATCTCTGTAGATTTTTTTGCTGGTGGGCGGTTTTTGACCTTGAATGAGGTGCTCGATGGCTACCTGATCGAACTTCTGCCCAGTTTTCGAGCTATCAATTAATTTCTATATAGTTGCATGATGTGCTCCCACTATTTTATTGAATCGGCGATGCCAATTCTTCACTGCGTTGTTCATGCCAGGTAGATTCTCAGCAACTGCATCGAAGAAATTTGTAACACTCTAAACAGTAGTGCATGGATTGGCTGATCAGAGCGAGTAATGAAGTCGTAGGTCGCTAATAAAAAGCGAAGATTCTTTATGAGTCGATTATTATTATTATTATATTATATTATTATTATCGATTATTATGTATGCGGTCTTATTGTTATTGTTTTGCAACCTTTGTGACATGCGATCTTATTGTTTTGCGACCTAAAGCTGGCGGTCTTTTTATCCGGCGGTCTTTTGTCCAACGGTCTTATACCGGCGGTTGTTTCACCAGACACCGCTTCCAGTGGCTACTAGGATGAGTGTTTAAAAGTAAACCTAACTAAAAAATTATTTACCAAGATAAATTAATAAATAGATATCAAACTACTTTATCAGTTGAAAATGTAGAAATTCCTTCGCTCTTGCATAAAAGTAACAAAATTGATTGATTGAGAGATTGAGTGAATGCTTGCTTGTTTGTTTGTCTACTAGTTCAGATATTCCTTATTAAGGTTATTCATGGTTTTCTCATTATTTTATTTCATAAGAGTGTGTGAGGAAGATACAAAAATGTTATTATAATGTTATAAAAATGTTTACATGCTTACAAAAATGTTATTATTAATACAAGTGCAAATTGTGTGTGCATGTGTGTGCATACATGTGTGTACGTATGTGCGTGTGTACGCATTCCCTTTGCTGTATTCACAATATTGTTTATTGCTTTTATTTCATTCTCAACATTTATTGCGTCACTGTCAATGAACAAACAATGCCTTCTGTTTATTCATTCATTCATTCTTTAATTCATTCATTCATTCATCTATTTATTCATCCATACATCCAATAATCCATTCATTCATTCATTCGTTCGGTCATTCTTTTTTTATAATTTTACATTTTATAATTTGAAACTAAAAAAACTTTGATCATTATTAGGCTAAGAAAATTTCATGATCGGTTAGATAGAAACTAGAAAGATCCCATTATATGACACATACAATACATCCACTAGCTTTAGCTAATTAAGTTAAACAAACATGTGCGTCATGTATATTATAAGTAAATAGATAACATAGATCATTTTTTGAAGTTTAATTGACGAGCAAACTTTTAATTTATCAATCTTATTTAATTTTTATCATTGATATCTGATAATTAATTAACGGTCATTTTCTAATAATAAATTGACATCGAATTAAATTTCAATTGTACTCTGTTTAATTTCATTTCTTTAATTTTTAGACAATCATTGGAATTTGTAGTTTTGTTATTTTGCTTCGTTTTTTGAATTTGGTTTTGTGATGGCACGGGGCTATGATAATAACAATAATAAAAAAATAAAACAAAATATTAAACGAACAAGTCAGTGAATGAAAACAGTGGGCCAACGAGATTTGGCATTGACAGGCAGTTAACTGATGTGAAATACATTATTATTTACTGTAGCTATTCACTTTTTATAAACGAAAATAATGAATAAACTAAAAATAAAATAAAATATAAATAATATTAAAGTGCTGCTGAATCAGTTCAGATGATGGTTCCTCTAAACCTATCTAACCCTATTATAAAACTGACCACCTCCTCCCTTCAAACACATTCACTCTTCCGGCTAAAAATAAACTGCCTACTATACAAGTGTACATATGTGTTACGCGTAGGTCTGTGTGTGTGCGCGTGTGTAAATGTGTGTGTGGTGTGTGTGCGTGTGTGTGTGTGGTGTGCAAGAACACTTGTACATATTCCCATCCGTAAAATTACATATATATATATATATATATATATATTTATGTCTATAATTACATATAGCAGTTGTCTACTGTTTTTCAACCACAGTGTTTTTAAGTTTTAAAAGTAATTTAATTACAAGCAACTGTTGAACAATAGTTCTCATGAACGTCGCTAACACAAAAAGCCATACGCAATCCTAACCTACAAACTTTACATATATAAGGTATATGTGTGAGTTACATGCAAAAGTTACAAACAAAGTTACATACACACTTTACAAATGTCATTTTTTAGTCAAGTGGCACAATTTAGGGGGTTCCCCCAATGAGATTTTGAAAAAAAATTTCTTGTGACCACCCTAATACACACATGTTACATGCACACACATGTTACATGCACACACACACACGCGCGCGTTAGATATAAGTATATTTACAATGAATGAAAACAGATTAATAAGAACTAAAGTGAAAGTGATGTAGATAACAATGTAAATGATGAGAATGATGATGAAATACAGTCAGGAAGATAGTAAGAATAATCATAAAATGGCAACAAAAATGATAAGAAGGATGATGATGAAGATGATGATGAAGACGATGATGGAGATGATGACGAAGATGATGATGGAGATGATGACGAAGATGATGATGGAGATGATGACGAAGATGATGATGGAGATGATGATGAAAATGATGATGAAAATGATGACGAAGATGATGATGATGATGATGGAGATGATGATGGAGATGATGATGAAGATGATGATGAAGAAGATGATGAAGCTGATGCAACAAACAGAGACACAGTAATGTTAACTCACTTGGAAGGAGCTGTTTTGTTTATGCAGATAACCTTCCTTTATGGAGGTCTGTGGAGATGAATGGTTAAAAATACATCTCAACAATTGCCAGGCACATCTCTCAATGTTATTGCACTTGTTAAACAAAGCCAAGTTATATAAACATTCAGGCAATCAAACTTGTAGATACAAAACCTACAGTATTATGTTTGTTTAGGCTTCTGTGATTATTTATAGAAATAAACAATATGCAATTGAGAAATAGAGAGAGAGAGAGAGAGAAAAAGAGAGAGAGGGAGAGAGAGAGAAAGAGGGAGAGAGAGAGGGAGAGAGAGAGAAAGAGAGAGAGGGAGAGAGAGAGAGAGAGAGAGAAAGAGGTGAGAGAGAATCTTCACAAATACCATATAAGAAAATTTTTTTTAATTTCACGAAAGATATAATTTTATTTGATACAATTATAAAAAATATAAATATAATTTAAGATTTTATAAAATTTTATTTATAAATGTTTTCAAGTGACAGATTTTTAGATTTTGTTACAAAAAAGATGTTGTTTAAATAAAGATTAGGTCAACAATAATCTTTTAACATTATCATTTTTTATTTATCATTGAAATATCAAATAAAAATGTAATATTTTACATGTAATTGCCTATTAATTTTGAACCAGATTAAACCAGCCTAAACTAGTCTACTGTGTTTTATTTGTAAGCAAATTAAAGATGGTGATATAATGTAAAGATTAACAACAGTAATGAAAAAATAATGCTTTATTTCATAACAGAAAAAAAATCATTGATCATGTAATGAGTTAAGTTGGAGATCTACCCTGGCTAAAATGCTTACACTCATTTTTAAAAACTTACAACAATCACAACCATATGAATAAAAACCCAACTTTTATTAAAATTATACAACAATTGAAAGTTAGGAATAAGGTTATGTTTATGCATCTAGCATCCAGGGCCAATCTCCAATTTTTCTCAAATAATAATAGAATCAACCAAAGAGAGCACCAGCAATGAACCCACCAAACGTTCAATTTCCTTTTTTGTTGAAAGTCTCCGAAGGAAACAACGAGCTGGTTCGGTCTCACCATCGCTATCTGAACTTTCCTCCCCACATGTCTGCTGTTGTGGCTGTTGCTGTTGATGATGTTGTGGTTGATGAAGCTGCGAGGCCATCCACACTTTTGGCTTCTCTTCTTTTATTTCACTTGCAATACAAATAAAATTAAGAAAAAATACAAAGTCCTTACACTTTCAGCTAGCTGCTAACTGGATAATCCTTGATGCTTACCCTAGCCTAAATCTTCACAAAAAATTTTAAAAATTTTAAAGGTTAAGTATTAATTATTAAATAAAAGTTAAATTTAAAAAAAGTGTAAAATTTTTAATCGTAGTAGTTATATATAAAATATAAAATTTTTAATAGTGGTAGTTATATATATATAATGTTTTTATAAAATGTTTACGGTAAACATTTTATAAAAATAGAATTTGTTTTGTAATAGACTTTCTACTATAAATTTTTCATAATGAGTTAATAACATCATGATTCTCGCATTTGCCTATGTAATGATCCTTTAATGATAAACTTTTTAAAATATGCCAAAATTGATATTTGAATTTGTTTCTGTAATGAACCTCTACTGTGAATTTTTCATGTCGATTCAATCTTTATTTATTTAATTGTCAATATTATGGGAGGCGAACATTATTTACTTTTGAAATGTATAAATTTTTGTGACGTATGTTCGCGTGCATGAATTACCATCATTTTTAATTTCTTCATTTTCAATTAACTTTGTTCAATTTTTTGTTGAACTTGGTTGAAAGGATAACTTTAGTTCAGGCACTATCACAAGTATTATGTTTACCTTTTTGTGCTTCTTCCAATAAATAAATAAAAATAAATAAATAAATATATATAATATAGAATAATAATAGAGTAACTACATAATATATAAAAATAAAATCATAAAGTTTATTTATAATATTATAAATAACTATCTTTTTAACAATTAACATTCATATAATTAATATTAATTAGTAACTAAAAACTTAGAATAGTCCAACAAAGCACCGACTAACCTCTCAAAATTTTTATAAATCCATCCACATTTTCGTACAATTACAGTTTGCAACAATTATTTAAAATTCTCTCCCCTTTTTATATAATTTTGAAACAGGGAAACTTCCACCTCGCTCCTTTTAAACAAAATATCGAACAAAGACCGTAAATATATACAATGATTTAAATGATTTAACAAGGATATATATATATATATATATCCTTGTTAAATTATATATATATATATATATATATATATATATATGAAAGTTTACGATTGAGCTTTTCAATTTTAAAACAGACGAATCTGTTCTAAAGAAAATTGTTTTCAAAAATGTGAAGCCTAGAAATACAGACGATAAAATTTAAAATTTATATATATATATAAATATATACATATACATATTTCAAACATATCTAGAGAGTACGGTCTCTGCCTTTGTAAACCGAGCCTATACGCATTCTTCCAATATGGAAAGCAGGAGAACCGAACTAGATAGATAATTTAAAAAGTTTTCAATCTCAATTTTCGGTTTAATGGGCAACTATAAACCATGTTGAAAAAATTCCATGTATTATTGTATAACTGGCATAAAACATTGGTAAAATTTAAAAAAAAAATTCCATCTATACATCTATAAAAATTGGAAATATTTTTTAATGCAACCACAAAGCCTAGCTTCACCTATGATGTAATCTGATAATGTTTTTTTTATCTTGTTCTTAATATAATATTATTATTAAATTTTACTTGAATTTATATCAAACATTGCAAATTTTAATTATGTTAGAGCTAATGACATTTAACATTATTCAGTACTACCGGCATTAATCTACAAACAAATTGATCACCCACTAACAGAGAAGCCATAGGAAATTGAAGCCTCAAAACAATGGAATATTTACATAGAGTTAGGGCTATATATAACGAAAATTCCATTTAAATATGTAAAAAAAACCGTTTCATTCCCCACAACAATGAAATTAATAAATTAAATGTGTGAAAATTTTTAGAAGTTTAGTGGTTTGAGTAGCAAAATTCAAAATTGGCAAAAATGTAGGATATGTATGCTCGCCAAAATTTTTTAAACAAAAAACTGATGCAAAGATAATGTCATAATAGTTTATAACTTTGATTTAATTATATTTTTATATTTTATTTATTGTGTTTATCATTATATTATTATAAAATTTTCTTAATTTTTCAAATTGTGAATTTATCTTTTACATGCAAAAATTTTGGTGAAATATTTTTGACATAAATGTAAATCAAAAAGTTTTGAAAAGGTTACTCAAATATGATACATTTTAGAAAAATGGCTTATTATATCAAATTCTACGCGCTGATTAACGCAATCTAATTTCAAATGCCACGTTTTGTTCGGGCCTTGATGGCGGAGTGACACAGCGGTAGAATCCTTCATCATCTGGAGAAGGATTGAGGAAAGTCAATGTGAGTTCGTGCAACGCTCCATCGGGAACGTTGGTATGTCTATCCAAAATTGTCGTTTTTGTTGAGCTTGTTATATTAACATCATTTTTAAATAAAGTCAATACTCTGTTCATATAGTCGAACGATCTACACCTGACGCAAGTGGGTCTGTTGCGCGTGATGTTAATGACCAGTTGAAAATACATCTCTTTGCCGCCTGCACGATGAAAGATGTAATTATTTTTGTTACGATTTGGATTGCTAACCAACTCTCTGGTTCTATCGAACGCATCCATGGCATGTTCCTCGCAAGGAATGACCATCATGACTGGATTCTTAGGCATGATGTTGGTAACCCAGGCACTGTAGAACGTCTGCTCTGTTTCGCTGGCGTGATCAGTCGCACACGTATAAACGCACGTGTCTGCTGTCCCGTTTGATATCTTGTACGATGTTGAAAGCGTTATGAAAATCTGGAAAGAAAAAATTCTTTCTTGAAAAGCGTTAAAATCGTGCGAAAATTTCCTATTTTTAAAAAAGAAAAATTTGCAAAAATTTGTATCGATATTTAAATATATTTAACTGACATTATTACCTACATTAGAATATCAGCACTATTTATTGTATTTTAAATAAAAAATAAATCAAAATATGTCGATATAATTTATCTATATTTATTTTGACATTTATTAAACCTTTTCAACTTATTTTAAATTATAATTTTTGTTAAAATTTATTAAATTATTTTACGGAGCCAAAAAGTGTCTAATTTACAAAAACAAACTCTGCTAGAATTGAAGTAGTCCGTTTCGACATAGGAAGACTTCCAACCGTTCGTGATGTACTTTCCCTTGTCCGTCGATGAAGTTTCGTTCTCCTTGCGATCGAAATTCATGCGGGACATCGATGGATGCTCTAATTTGGATTTGAGCCAGCGTGGCTTGCTAGTGTATTAAAGTTGTAATTAGTTAAAAACATACAGTATGTAAATTTATTATTGTTGGGTTTAATAGGTTTTTATTAAAATTTAAAGAATTACTCTCTATCAAGAGAATTCCTGTAAATTCTTATTTCACCAGACGGTTTCAACGTAACTGGGTTGGATTCAATGAGAGCCTGGCAGACTACATGAAGATCACCTTGAAAATCAACAAACAACATCTTATCAATAATTCATCACAACTACGTGTTCAAAAACGAGTGTCCTTATTCACATTGTTAAGTTTCTTGACTACACTCGAAAGTTCCAACGGGAAGACTATGCTTATGATTCAATATTTGGATAATTTTATTAGATCCAATGCATTACACGGATGCAAAATTATATTAAAAACAAACCAGACTGATCAAACGTAATTGTGTCGGGTGGTGTTGTTTTCCAAACGATGGAGTCCAATATATCCAACTTGTTGATTGTCTCCTTCTGGATTTCAGTTTTTAAATGATACTGGAATAAAGTATTTGGATAATGGAAAACTGTTATGAAGGTGAGAGGGAATTTTTCGTTGAAAGGATTAATGTTCAAGGTGACTGCCCTGATGTTGTGAGAAAACATGACGCTCACGTTAAAATTTTTTCTACCTGATGTAATGAAAACATCGAAAATTTATTAAAGAATAGGTTTTACATGACAAATAACATAACTTAAAATGATTGGCTAAGTAAAAATATGTAGAAGTTTATATATTATTATTATTAAAACATATAATTAAGCGAAAATTATGATCAAAAAGTTCTCAAAAGCGCCATCCATATAGAATGCATTAAAGTAAAGTACAGATATGATGGTAGTTGTTAATAAACAATTCAATATCAAACTCAAAGTACAAATAAATAAGTTTTCAAATTTTTCTCAAAATCATCCAATTTCAAATCCTAAGATTTTAAAGATCTTGGCAAATTGTTCCAAACAGCCGGTCCTGAAATAACCAAATTTATTAATGCGATTTGTGAATTGATGTCCGGGACAACCAGCAAAATATTATCATCTGACTTAAGTTTCATGCCACTCATCATTACAGATTTTTCTTCTATTTTATTAATCATATAACTTGGTAAAAAACCATGTAACGTTTTATACATTATTAGACTTATTTTGCATAAAATTCCTTTTTATGGTAAGCCAATGAAGACTTCCCAAAATCGGAGTTACATGATTGAATCTGAGACCACTGACAACCAATTTGGCCGCTCTATTCTGAATGGACTAAAAAGTAGAAACATGTTAACCAGGCAGCCCTTAAAAGAGGCCATTGCAATAAACTAATCTCGAGAAAACAAGTGCATGTACCAACGTCTGAATATCAGATTTATTTAAAGAATTACGCACCTTATATAATTCTTTAATTTGCAAAGGACATGCTCAAATTATCGTTTTCATATGATCCTGCATCGATAATATGGAATCCAGTGAACATACTAAATTAGTTACTTTGTCGCAAAATCTAATTTTGACATCATCAATTTTCACCAAATCAATATTAAATTTTGTTGACTGCTGAAATTTTCCAAAGGGAAAAAATTTTGACTCTTGTTGGTTTAACTTGAGACTTCCACGTTAGACATCAACGTTTCAATATCGTTTAGACACTTGACAAGTTCATTTATTTCACAATGTAGTAATTCTGGCTTATTACTAACTATTATCTAAATGTCATCAGCGTAAGCGTGATACCTAAAACTGAACTAATCAAACATCTTTAAAACCCCAGCAGTATACATGACAAAAAGAATGGGTCCAAGCACTAAGCCTTGGGGTACTCCTGAGGCTAAAACTATTTCCTATATGTTGTCTGTCTAGCGCAGCAAACAGTTCAGAAAAAACATAAAGCAGTCTGGAAATTGGTCTATAACTAGCCAAGTCATTTCTATTCATATTCACTTTTTTAAATCTGAAAAAAATATAACTTGCTTAAATCCAAGAGGAAAAAACCGCTGCTTAAACTCTAATTTATGAAACTCGTCAGCAAAACTATAAACAGATCAATATATTTTTTTAAATGTGTGTATAAAAGATATCAATCAAACAAGTTTTAATTGGCAAGAAGCCGAGCACCACCTTTTTAACCTTCAATTCTGTAAGGAGCGTTAAATCAGAAAATGAGCAGTTTATGTCAGACAAAGTTTGATAAATTGGTGGTCTATTAGTAACATTGGTAGTCTGTTTTATTTTGTCAACTTTATTATCAAGAATCTTAACAAACTGAGACGAATGTAAGTTAATAATTTCATTAGACGATTCTCCAGTAACTTGATTGCAAAATACTTTGTTTATTATTTTTCATAAATTTGTAGGAGTTCCGCAGTTATCGCTGATAATTTTTTTCCAATAACAATTTCTTTTTTGGGGGAAAAATTCGAGATTTCTTTTTAGAGCTGCATTCCAATCACTTTTGCATTCCACAGACATGTTTTCTATAATTTCTTTTTTTACGCAAAGTCTTTTAATAGTCTTACATTCATAATCATACCAAGGAGGGCAACGTCACATCTAACTTTAGCTTTTTTTGGAAATTCATATTTCTATTATCAATGTTAATTTTCTTGTTGTTTATAATAAGTTACTGTTTATATAAGTTACTGTTACTTTGTTCCTCTATGTTAAACAAATTTTTTCTACAAAAAAACTCGTAAAAAACTGATTGAAAATTTAAATAGAAAACTGGAGAACTAAGCAACGCTAAAAATGCTGTGACTTTCCTAAACAACTGTATATCTGATAGTCTGAATCATATATATATATATGAATATTTCCCTATATAACTAAATTGCACTGATGATGATTCATTCAGAATCGAAATATGGTCTTATTTGCAGCATGAATTCGGAAAATAAGTTTATTTTTAATTTTAATAAACTAAACGTTCACCAAAAAACTTTAGTGAGAAAAATTGAAAAAATGAACTACAAACATATTAAGGCCAAACATTCGGTAGAATTTATAGAATATTGTGTGTATATATATATATATATATATATATATATATATATATATATATATAAATATATATATCAAAAAGTGAACTAACCATCAATATTGAGAGCATGAGGAATCTCGGCAAGGGGAAGGTACAAATCAGAAACCTTCATGAACCATCTAATTTCTGGTTTTTCGGATTTGTGTTGGAATATAATTTTCAATTTGGCATTGCCATTTGGGTAGAAATCTTTGATTAGGCGTTTCAAAGGTTTCAAGTAAATTTTTTTTAAATGATCCTGTTTATGTATGTAAATTATATTAAATTTTATATATATGTAAAAACTAATCAACGCATTTATTTTTAAGTGAATAATAATAATAATAATGTCATTTGTGCAGCGCCTTATGCATAGCATCAGGGGCTCCCGGATAAACAAATGTCAGCACGGCCAGCAAAGGCCTGTTTGAACAGATGAGGTTTCAATCGCTTCTTAAACGTTTCTATTGATGATTGTCAAACTGTTCCATATTGATGGTGAGCAATATAAAAAGCATTTCAAGGTGAGAGCTTATTTATTGACTGGTTGATGCAGTTGCAGTGGTGACGGCAGACGAAGGTCATGGTTAACAGATGAGCGAAGGTGAATGAGTTTTTGAAGATATGGTGGTTGAAATGTGTTGAGAGTTTTATATGTAGTGACAGCAATTTTATATTTGATGCGTTGATGAATCGGCAGCCAATGCAAGTAAGCAAAGAGACGATGAACTGGAAGACAAACGAGGTAATTCTAAAACAAGTTTGGCTTTTGAATGTGCTGAAGAGAGGAAATCAGATACGCTGAAGTTCCATATAACAGAGAATTGCAGTAGTCAGGGCGAGATAATACAAGACAGCGTGGAGGTCATATCAACTGTAAAAATAGGTCGAATGTGGTGAAAAGACCAAATAATGCAATAGACTAATTTGACCAAAGCTTTACTACGGAAATAGAAAAAAAAATCATATTTTAATAGATAATATTGCAAGGCAGATATTTTTAGCAATTTAGCGAAATTTGTTAGTCTCAATATAATGGAATATTTTTGAAAAAACACTTCCAAATTAGAGTCTAATGTTTACCTCTTTATATTGCAGAAGCCCTCCAGCTGTCACTATCAAAAATGTGATTATAAATGTGATTATAAATGATAATTTAATCATTTTGATTTCAAACTTTTTTTAATATTTTTAAATGAAGCGACTCAGGCGCATGCAGATAAATGATAGGATGACACTCAGACACTCAGACATAACAGTCAAGCGCACACAAGCTGCTGCTAGATGTTATTATGGCGTTTAACATCAATTATCTACATAAACTGTTTGGTAAACTTTGCACCGATGAAAAATACACAATTACATGTAGAGAACAAAAACAATTTTATTCATGATCTCGTTAAGAAATAAATTGATTTCACTGCACTTTGTTGATGAGATTGAAGAATAATAAATTAATTTTAACACACTGTGACCATTGTCAAAGTGTTAAATTTTTCAACTCTTAATTTCCGACATGACCATTATTACCTACAAACATTAATTATTATTTCGCTAGTTTATCAGGGAGGTTCACAGGTGTAAAACGCGGTTCTACACTGACGATAAAATTTTTGTGCCACACAGGCCGTGCCACTCACACCACACGACGTACAGAAACATCATGCATGCGCGGCAAACACTGCAACATATGCACTTAGACACATAGGGTACGAAAGTCTGAGTTTAGGACAGAAAGTAATCAAAACAGGCCATAACAGCGCGGCATCTTCTACCGACTGCGCTAACTCACCGATCAAGTATGTGATAATGGTTTGATTAAAACCGTGCATGAAGTTCCACATGTTCCAGAGAAAGCATTTGTAATAAGATGGATGAAAAAAACAAAAGACATACATGTTACAATTCTATGAAACTAATATAGCTTTGTAACTAGAAAAAAATAATTAAATAAAATTCAATTGAAAAGAAATACAAGCATTTGAACAAAAAATTAAAAATTCATTAGAAGAAGGCCACAACTATTAAACATGAAACTGCCCACATCAAACATATGTTAACGACACAAAAATATAACAATCTCCTTTAAAGACAACCACAACTCAACGGTCTTCCACAATTAGAACGTTTATTACACGTGCCAATAATCGATTGTTTGAATGTTGGGCAACACCAATTAAGACGGCTTATCATTTTCAATCTAAACAATCAGATCAAAGATCATTCCTTTGTGAATGAGAACCATAACTGGCAGCTGGTCGTCTTTTACTGAGTATATAAGTGGAAGAAAATATTCGATTCCTAAAAACAGTTCACAGTTTTGCAATCAAATCTTACAAAACAGCTTGAGAAACTTTTAGTTCAATTTATCAACAAAACCAGATACTACACAGAAGATATTAAGATTAATTGCTATAAAACACAGTAACTAAAACCATCATTAAATTTAAACATCATTAAAAATGACGAAACGAGTGTCATTCTTGTTGTTCAACGAGGTAGAACAGACATACCAGATTTGTGACAACGTTTCTGAAAAAGGACATCCGTTCAAAGCTGACGGGTTAGTTTTTAACTCTTCGCAAAAATCGCAACCGAGTTTGGAGCGACGATCCATATTGAAAAGATCAAGTAACGTAGTTGGGAACGTTGATCAAATGAAATTCGCAAACCAAACAAACGACAATCCAAAGAACACGTGTCACAACCATTCGACTTACACAAACACATTTACAACAAAAGCTACAAGCAACAAAAGAAGAAACAGCTTCAACAGTTCGTTACTGAGATGTCTGCAAGTAGCCACAAAGGATGGAAATGAAGACAGCGATGATGGCATTGATGAAATAACCTTTCCATCTCATCAATCAAACAACAACATTGTGACTGATTGTTCAGCAAACACAACAAACAACATCAACAAAACATCGATGCACACATCAACATCACACAACTCGGAAAGAGTTAAAAACATTAAACACAATAATGACGACACGCATGAAAGAGAAGCCGATCAGCACTGCGCCGAGCAATCATTTGCAATCATTACAACGAACAGTTATTCTGTTGATCATGGAATGGACCTCACCAGCGACCCCACACCACAACAGACGACTTCAACATCTATCGAGGAACCTGCAACTGATTTGAGCAACTATTTCAGCGATGCTTCCAACGCATCAGCACTTTGTTCAGCGACATTTCCAAGGAGCAACACCTTGAAAACATCTTCAGCCTTTGACTGCATGAGCTTTAAAAAGGATCATTGCGATGTTAATTGCGATCCATCTGGCTGTTCAATTGACGTAATATGCACATCTCATGAGTTGCATTTCAAATGTCCTTGCTGTTCAGCCGTTAAAACAATGCAACCTGGACTCAATTATTACTACTTGTTGAAACACATCTTCAACGAAGACCACCCTCATAAGATAATGCAGCATCTCAAGAACTGCATTTGTTCATCGGATGAGGTTGACAAACAGGAAAACCTCAAAATAACGAAGAGAAAAAATTCACTGCCTCGAAGAGTGGCAAAGTCTCTTGTTGGTCGATTGAGATGTTTGAAACAACGAAATGATTCAAACGTTGAGGCTCCACAAAAGCAATGTGTTTTATAAATATTTCATGGACTTCGATTTAACATTGTTTCTTTTATATTGTTCATATTTTATTTTAAATTTCTCTTAAATTTTAAATGGACAATAATAAATTGTACATAACAAATATTTCTTATTTTGTCATTCCTTTTTAAACGCAAACACGATGTCCTGAATGTTTGTTGTTGAGTCGTGCAATTTTTTAACAATTAAATTTAGTTTAAAAATAAGATATCTGTAGAAAAATTTTGAAAAAAATTTGAAAAAAAACAATAAAAAAACGATCATATATTCGAATTGAAATGATTTTTAGTGTATTTAAAAAGTCTAAATATGATTAAAAAATGAAATTTATTAAAATAAAACAAATAAAATTATAAGATTTAACATAGTTTACAAATTTTCTTTTCACTCACATGTTTAAAATGTTTCTAGTAAACTGGCAAAACGTTTAGCGTGCTAAACAAAATCAAGTTCATCAATCAAAAAAATGTGCTGAACAATTTGTACAAATGAATTTGTTCTCGGTACATCACATACTGCAACAAAGTATGGCCAGGCACTTACAAAAGCAACACTATTACGATAAATTTAATTTCAAATAGAGTACTGTTAAAATAACTTCAATAACTGTCACAAAATGTATCCACACACAACAATTATTTGACTTGAATGACAATCTTAACATTGCTAATTAAATTAAAATTAAAAAATTTATTAAACAAATTTAATTTACGTCAAACTTAAACTTTGAAGGATGCCAAAATTTGGCTGGATTTTGGCAGAAACCGGATTTATTTAACATAACTTTCACTTTACTTTATTTAAAATAAAAAGCAACATTAAACAAACTATGGACATCATCGACGCTACATTAAACAAATTATGAACATCATCGACCATTTTTAAGAAAGAAGGATACTGATAAATACTCTGCTAAAATCATTCAATGAACAATTTCGATGCATAGAAAAGGAACATTTGTGTACTGTGGCAACGATTATCGAACTAGGTTTTAAGAGCAAATTTTGCACCATAGATGTTCTGGCGACTGCCCAACTACGTGTTTTGATGGAAAATAACCAGTTGACGGCGTCGGTTCCTTTGAAAGATCAAGCTCAATATGACAAGCTTGAAGGTGATTTATAACCAGAATCAACTGAGATCTCGCCAATTCAAGCTAAAAAACCCGACTTAAAAAACCAAACACATTGGCAGAGTGGAAATGTGTGGATGAAATTGTGCAGTATGCAGAAACAAATGCACAAGATGTAACTGAAAGCATTGATAATGAACTTGCAAAATACTTGTCTGAACCAGCAATGTCACAGCCGGAGGTTCAGGTTGAATGTGGTGAGGTTGCCCAATTTGGCTGCTGTTGCACGTATTTACTTAGGTGCACCACCAACAGGTGTCCCATCTGAGCATTTGTTCAATGTTGCTGATGAGGTAATAAGTGAAGTATATTGGTAATAGATAATGCTTCAAGACATTTTTTAAATAAAATATTAGTCTCATTAAAATATCAATTCTGTATTTAACCAAAACCTGTGATAATGCTTTTGATATATTTAGTTACCCCTAAATGATAACATTATTAATTGTTAACGTGAACCGTTTACGAATAAATGACAACGTTAATGTTACATGTGCATTAGATAAATTATGTAATAAATCACACAATTCATTGATTATCGACTATGTCCTGTTTATATATTTTGTCATTTTGGCTATCATAAAAATAAAAAAGATGCATTCAATGTGTATGCAAGTAAACACTCGTGGGTCACAAACTTAGTTGAAAGAAAAACTACGCCGATATCTAGATTAAGTGAACGCAATCATCTGGTGTCATCGGACTTGGATGATTTGGTCATTCCGCCTTTCCGATCTTCTAAGTTTACAAAACGAAGATTTGCTGTGATTGCTGAAATATGGAACCCGCATCTTATAAACAGGCTTGGACTGGGTCGCCGGGACACCGGCAAATTCCAGGTGGGCCGGCTTATGCCAGCTGCGACAAAATTTATTACATTTTCAGTATTAGCAAAAAATTTAATTCATTTTTTCAAAAAGCTACAATTATCGTAAGATTGCAGATAATGAACTAGATAAGATAATTGTCGACACTGAAGTGCAAAGTGTTTTGAAAGGAAAAAAAGAATTATATCGAACCAACCGCTGAAAGTGTAAAAGATAAATTATGTGCCACTGTTCACAATGTGGTCATGGATCAAGCAAATAATAGTTTAAAAAAGATATTTTGAGCATGGTAGTTTTACACAGATTTATCTTTCTTATATTCAAAAATTTTGCAGAAGTTTTAAAAAGAATGTTTAGTGACGCACTGCAACACTTGAGTAAATTGCTCCAAAAATTGATGATATTTTAACTAAAAATCATTTCAAACTGAATTAAGCCATTAATGAATTTAAATAAAATAACATCCAGGAACTTTTGTTATTATGCACCTTATAAATGGAATAATCTGCCACAATATTTAAGATCAATTAATAATCTAACAGAATTTAAAAAGAAGTTGAGAACATTTTTAAATTGTTTAAGTTAAATGTATTAATATTTTATTTTTAATCTTATTCATTTTTTAAGTTTAAATGTATGAATGTTTTATTTCTAAGTTTATTCGTGAAAATTTAAGAACATTGAAGAATTTAAAAGACATTTATTTTACTCATTTATGTTATTGTGTGTTTTTTTTGATTACTTACTACGTTATTTCTTGTTTTATGGGAGTCAACCCTAGATAAGCATTTATTGCTAGGCTGACTCTTTTACTTTTTTGTGAATAAATGGAATTTAAAAAAAAAAATTATTGTTGGATTTTGCAAGGAAACAGAAAAAAATTTTAACAACTCTCAAAGATAATTTGATCTTTGAAATGGAAGTGGAAGACAGTTAACAGGCTGAATGAGTAAAATAACTAGAAAATATGTACATCATCTCATTGGTTGAAAACGGCAACAAACACAAATATAAATAAATTTTTTTTTAGAAAATGTAACATTGCTGTTTATTTGTTCTCCAAACGTTTTATTTGCAGTGTTTGCTTATTCAAATTTGTATTTGGCTTACAAATTTGTTTTGACATTATCCTCACTATAGTCGTTGTCGAAATTGAAATACGTTTTTAACAAATTTTGGAATTTGTTGAGCCAGCCAACTTTAAAATGATGCATGTTGATGTCTTGCAAGAAGAACCTTCTCCCAAGGAATCAACAACAATGAAATCATTGATGTTTTAGAATCGATTAGTGAAACACCCAGAAAACTCTTACGCTAGTTTATAATGAATAAAAATTGTAAGCTCTATTGTTTTTTATTTTTAAGTTGCTAGAACAGAACTAGTAGATATTCATGTGTTGTGTTCACAGTTATTATGTATAACAAAGTCTAGACAGTTATGATTAAAATCATCATCGATGTGCGACTTGAAGTGGTGTTTTTGAAGTTTAAAATTTTAATATTATGAATGAAATAATCATAGAAACTAGAAAATTACAAAAATTGAATTAAATTGTAAATAGTAATGATTTACTTTTGTAAATAAAACTGTTAAAAAAAATGTAGGTCACCGTGACCACATTTCCACGGCCAATTTTTAAGCCTGCCTGAACCTAGTTTCCCCACTTATTGACGACTTTCAAAAAACTATCAAAAAATTATTATTTCAACATAGTGAACCGTAAAATTCACTTCTGAAGTTTTTTCGAAGAAAGCGCTGTACAAATCTGGATCATGTTACTGATGAGAATGTTTATGAAGATTAAAACTTATTTTCAAAACAGAACATGAAAGGTATCATAAAATTGTTGATTTTTAACAAATAAACCGACATAAATTACAATGAAAATATTTTTTGGCAAGATCAGATATTAGCAGAAATTTGATCTAATAAAAATTAAATGTTTAAAAAAAATTGAATATGAACTTTAAAATTCTTTGTTTTGATATTGTTCTAAACAGCATGAAGGCAAGACATGGAAACGTACTCGAATCCGATTGATGCAAAATAAACTCTAACAATCGATCATTTGATAAAATGTAAAAACAGTCTAAACACGCACAAATAAAACTAATAACTTTAACATAAGCTCACATCGATCATTTGTAAAAACAACCGCAATTCAACGGTCGTCCACTGTTATATCCAATTAGAACGTTTATTACACGTGCCAATAATCGATTGTTTGAATGTTGGGCAACACCAATTAAGACGGCTTATCATTTTCAATCTAAACGATCAGATCAAAGACCATTCCTTTGTGAATGAAAACCATAACTGGCAGCTTGTCCTCTTTTAATGAGTATATAAGTCGAAGAAAATGCTCGATTCATAGAAACAGTTCACAGTTTTGCAATCAAATTGCTTGAGAAACTTCTAATTCAATTTATCAACTAAAACAGATACTCTACAGAAGATATTAAGATTATTTAATTAATTAAAACACAGTAACTAAGACTCTTAATAAATTTGAACATCATTAAAAATGGCGAGACGAGTGTCATTCTTGTTGTTTAACGAGGTGAAACAGACATACCAGATTTATGACAATGTTTCTGAAAAAAGACTTCCGTTCAAAGCTGACGGGTTAGTTTTTAACTCTTTGCAAAAATCGCAACCGAGTTTGGAGCGACGATCCATATTGAAAAGATCAAGTAACGTAGTTCAGAATCAACATAATTCGACATCCACAAACACATTTACTACGGAACATACATCCGAAATCAGTAGCAGAAGAAGAAACAGCCTCAACAATACCTTATTTGGATGTCTGCAAGTAGACACAAAGGATGGAAATGAAGACAGCGATGATGGCATTGATGAAATAACCTTTCCATCTCATCAATCAAACAACAACATTGTGACTGATTGTTCAGCAAACACAACAAACAACATCAACGAAACATCGATGCACATACTCACCTCAAACAACGCGGAAATATTTAAAAACATCAGACGCCATATTGACGACATGCATGAAAGAGAAGAAACTGATCAGCACTGCGTAGAGCAGTCATTTGCAATCATTGCAACAAATAGTTATTCTGTGGATCATGGCATCGACCTCACCAGCGACACCACACCACAACAGACGACTTCAACAACACTCGAGGAACCCGCAACTGATTTGAGCAACTATTTCAGCGATGTTTCCAACGTATCAACACTTTGTTCAGTGAACTGCATGAGCTTGAAAAAGTATCCTTTTGAAGTTAATTGCGATCCATCTGGCTGTTCAATTGACGTAATATGCACATCTCATGAGTTGCATTTCAAATGTCCTTGCTGTTCAGCCGTTAAAACAATGCAACCTGGACTCAATTATTACTACTTGTTGAAACACATCTTCAACGAAGACCATCCTCATAAGATAATGCAGCATCTCAAGAACTGCATTTGTTCATCGGATGAGGTTGACAACCAGGAAAACCACAAAATGGCGAAGAGAAAAAATTCACTGCCTAGAAGAGTGGCAAAGTCTCTTGTTGGTGGATTGAGACGTTTGAAGCAACGAAATGACTCAAACGTTGGGGCTCCACAGAAGCAATGTGTTTTATGAATATTTCATGAACTTTTTTTAACTTTCCTGTTTTACATTTTTAATCAGGTTTAAATATAATTGTTTTAATTCAATGATAAATTGTTTATAGCAAATATTCATTATTTTAATTTAATTTTAAACGCAAACACGGTGTACATAAATGTTTGTTGGTCGGTCGAACACGTTTTTTTGACAATAAAATTTGGTTTAAAATTATGAAATTTGTTAACACAAATTGGAAAATATTTTTTTAAAAGAGATATTCATGTCTTCTAAAAATATTTAAAAACTATCATTGATTCAAATTAAAAGGCAATTAATTTAAAAAACAGGCTTACATGTGATTAATATAATAAAATTTATAAAAATAAAACTATTAAATTTATAGGGGTTAACCTAGATTCCAAATTAACTTTGCTCACATGTCTAAAATGTTTGTAGTAAACTGTCAAAAACATTTGGCATTCTAAACAAAATTAAGTTCATCATTACAAAAAAATGTGCTGAACATCTTGTACAGATGAATTTGTTCTTTCGTCATATACTGCAACACGGTTTGGGCAGGCACCTACAAAAGCATCACTAATCCGGTGAACTTAATGATGAAGAGAACCGTTATTAATAACGTTATCAAGAAGTCAAACCCATGCACAACAATTTCTTGACTTGAATGACGGTCTTACCTTAGCTAGTTAAATTTCTTTCGATAATAGTTGACAAAAAAAACTTTCTTAAAGGAATACATCTCATCTTTTGAAAGTAGAAGACATGTCAACAGTATCAACTACATAAGTGTAAAACCAATTTTCAGGTGTCAACAACACACATAAACTTGAATATGCAAGATAGGCGATGATCGTTTTTGCGGTTGAACCCGTCATTGCAAAGCCTGACAAAGCGCTTTCACAGCATCAAATTTAAGTAAATCAAAAAACTCCAAAAATGGGTAAAAAGGAGATGTTTGTTGGCTAAGCAATAGACAGACACCTTAGAGAAATAAAGAATTGTAGAGAAAAATAATAAAAAGATAATTTTATTTGTGAATCTCGAAACGCACGCTCAAATTAGATTCGTTATGTTTTTAATGACGTCAGCCAAAAACTAATTGAACTCTATTATAAACATGTATATGTTTTTAAATATTTTATATTTTATAAAAACACGTTTTTGATTTTCATTTCAATCAATTACAATCAAATTTTTTGTACAAAACCTGTGAATGAACAATGGCGGAACATGTTGATTACAAAAGTGTCATCGATAAGATTCGAGTTCGGTTGGTCAACTTTTTGACGGCTTGTGATTCCATAGTGCCGTGGTTTGGTAACGTTAAACACATTTTAAATGTAAGAAACGTTTAAAATATGGTTTGTAGATTCAAATACATTTTTTAAAATAATAAAATTGCCTACAGATGCTTCTGTTGTGTTCAGAAAAGTTAGAGGCCATAAGGACAAATAACAACTACACGTCAACAAATTACGAAGAGTTAAATTATTACGTTGAGTTAATCGAACTTTTCAAATTGAACATAATTTTCGATATAGCTTTCAAATTGAGCGTGACCCAATGCACATATCCCGTGTACGGATGCGTACTCGAAACCATTTTGGACAATGTTACGCAAATGAATTTCACTCCGGAATCATTCCAGGAACTTGTCGATTTGAAAATGTTGGCTCACGAATATGGTTTTGCGGAGGATTCTCTGTGTGACGGGACGCAAGAGGCAACAGAAGATTTCCTCAAGTATCTTCAAAGCGTAGAAAACAAGCTTACCGCAATGGAAAAGTATGCAGTGAACAACGCAGATGAACAAATTCAGTTAGTTTCCATCCTCGAGTTGAAAAAAATTGTGGCAAAAATTTTTATCATAAGGCCTAATAAAATTTTTAAAGACCTCAGAGATAACGTCATAATGGAAACAGATTATTTAATCATAAGATTAATCAATTTGGCAAACTGCATCAACTTCAAAACCGATTATAACTCGTGTATAATTTACATGATTCAGTATCGTCTTTTGGCCAAAAAAAAATTTGAGAGATCACGTTTGTTTGAAACCTATTTAAGTCACGTATTTTCCCAGATCAGTTCTCATTTACTTCACCAAAAAACTAGAGTTTGGTTGATGGGGAAAATAGAAACGTGGTTAGTTACCAGCAAGAAGCCTATTTATTATTTAATAGGTTCAGAAGGCACAGGAAAGTCGTGTTTGGTTTCAGCTTTCTGTAAGCTTTATGATAACTATATTTTCAACATATTTGTCTACGACTCCCGTTACCCAAGCGGAACAACTGAATTAATAAAATCTATAGCCAACAGCCTAATGCACAACTTGCCTGAATATCTAAATCAAATGGATAAAATGATCCCAGAAAATCAGCCAGCATCTTGTAGCCACCAAGCCCACTGGAAGGAGTTGTATCAATTTCTTCTAAAGAAACCATTGACTGCAATTGCTGGTCAAACACACTTTAAAAACTGCAGCCGTAAATTGATCGTAATAGACGCTTTAAATGAAGCTAAGAAATCTGAGTGGCATGACTTGATAGCATTCATGGACATGTTCCGGAAAGATTTCGGAGATTTTTTGTGCTTTCTGGTAACTTGCAGAAAAGAATGTGTGGAAATGACTTCGTACTTTTTTGAACAATCGTCGGAACTTCATTCAAACGCCGAAGGTATTGATCTGGACAGCAAAACATGGATAGGTCTCCATCTAACCGATCTAGAAATGTTTTTCGTCAGTTGCCTATGCGACGTTATATCCAGAAGAATCACTGTGCAAGAACTAGCAAGCGGTGAAAACTTTCGGGGATTCAGCAAAAGCATAGACTGTCTGTTGAAACACACAGCGGGAAAATTCTCGTACGCGCAACATATTCTGAGACTATTTGACGAATCGATGCTCGAACTGCAAGGCCAGTTTCAAAAGAGCATTTTGAACACTTTAGAGAAATTTTCCTTGCAAATAGGCAGAGAAAAAATGGACGACGGCCTAAAGACTTTCTCAAAGGTCTTTTATACGTACAGACTGAAAGAAGGAAACCCAGGTTAGTTTCATTTACGTTCGATAAGTTTCGATCATAAAAAATGAACCCATCGATTAGCTAATTATTTAATTATTAATCTTAAATTTAAACTTGCTTACAATTATCAACTATCAGTAATTTAAATGAACTATTTTTTTTATTTTTGAGCACGGCACAATTATTTAATTTCAGTTCATCCTCCACCTGAGTTGTATCTGCTTATAACAGGCAAATCCATTCGACTGGAATCTGTCAAATGATCAGGAACTTACGCTTTGAAATCGTACTGACTTTGAATGTTACATTTCATAAAATAAAAATGTTAGCATATTTGCCATAAAAACGCTATTTTGTAACAAATTCCTAGCAAGCATATCCATCAATCACTCAAATACATTCACCGCATGCACCAAGTTCTTTAATATAATTAATAACCTCGACAATATTACAATTTTTTCAAAAATATAAAAAGTGATTGGTATTTTTTATCGTCAAAAATCAAATACTGAAATTAAAACATTGGAATGGTAACATTCATAGAAAAATCAACAAAAAAATTATTTAAATAATAAAGTTAATGAATAAATCATGCACTTAAGTTTTGTAAATTTGTGAATGTTGGCATAGAACACGAATGTGAATCTGCAACCACAGATTATTCTAGGAAATATAATTGGCATCACAAACAGTATAGGAACATAGAAACGTAATAATATCGAATAATATGCGTTGTACGTTTTGACATATGCATATATTATATAAATGGAAATCTTTAACTTTACATTGAAAAACAATCTAAACTCTTCACAGTAAATTTTAAACCTAGATAAAAACTAACTGTTGCAACAAAATACATTATCATTTTAAAACTGTTTTCAGCACAGACCAAAGAACACAATGATTGAAATTTACACTAACTAGCACTACATTCTATGACAATTAACAGAAGAAAAAAAACTGTAATTTATTTATCAATTATTAACTCAAAAATTCAACAATAGGATAAAAAAATGAACAATTAAAAACTCAAAAACCACTGTAACCACTGCTACTTGTGGCTCCAGGACCTGAACTCATGATGCGTTGATGGTAGTTGGGAGGACGAGGTGACTTTTCAGCTGAAGTGATCAATGGCCTTGTTGACGGTGTGGTTGGTGGATGATCATCTAGTTCGTGCGCAAATATGACCGGTGCTCCTTTCTTCACCAACTCTGTGGTGTCAATCGACTTTTGTTTTTCACATTGTTTAGTTTTTCTTCTATAAGCTACACAGGCAATAAGTAGTGCCAACAAAACAAGGACAGCAACGATCAAGGTAGGAATGACTATTTGCTTAATCAGTTCATCATCTGTTTTTGATGCAACTACTTTTTCTTCATCACCCCTGGATGACGTTTCATCAAATTTTACTTCTGGAATATTGTTATTGGAAACAGAATATTTAAAAGTGTCATCAACATCTCCAAATGTTTTTGATCTTGGTGTCACAGCTATTGAGGATGGCTGTTTTTTAGTCTTTTGAGTGACTCTGATGCCTTGTATGTGGAATGCTTGCCTGCTAGATACATAGCGCTCACACTCACCTCGACTAATCACCTCTGCAAAAGATATTCTATCAGGGTGCAACTGTTTGATGAAAACTTCTGACAACTTTCTTGTTGATTTACTGATAAATTTATCAAATAACAACTCTGAATCATGACACAATCTTCGATCATTCTGACCGGCGGACTTCAGTAAGGTCATCGTTTTGTTGGTCCAGAAATAATCAACTGAACCTTCATCAGCTTTCGTCATTAGAACGTCAGAAGGATCTAAATCTCCGAATCCCAATGAAATTTTCTTTGCCAACTCCAATCTTATGTCAACATCCTGGCAAAATCTTTGAAATTACATTCAACAATCACAATATTACATCTTATAAGTAGATTTATATGAAACTTAATAATTAAAAGTTTGTAATAGACATGACATTTTGAAATCAAGTTTCTAACAATATAACAGAGGAATTATTTTACTTGGTGTAATCATATCCTGGCAGCAGCACATTCATCTCGTATGTGATGTACTGTTCAGGTATTTTGACAACTTGAAACTTCAAGTACAATCCGGTTTCATTACCTAATTTGTTGACGGCCTTCAACAAATAATCTTGAAGTCCTTCATGTTGTGACATTGGTATGCCATAAATATAAGGATAGGATTTGCTCCTTGGTCTCGTTGAGTTCAGTTTGATCCATGATGAGTCAGGCAGTGTCAAGCCATTTTGAGACAACAATTCTAATGTCTTGTATGGTCCAGAGAAGAAGTCAGGAGTAATTGTGAATTTGTAGAATTGCCCCACATATACCTAGTATTTTTAAATAGAATTACAATAATTCAATAATATGCAAATGAAAACAAAACAAGCCTTTATGGATTCCAATGATTTTTCAGTTTTGAATTCGTAGCTTGAGTAATCCACATCAACATCAACTTCATCATCTTCTTTTCTTGAAGATTCTGTACTTACTCTAGGCAGTGCAGTTGTAGTTTTTTTACCTTTTGGTCCTTTTGAATGACTAGCAAGTTTTGATGGCTTTTTAGTAGTACTGGCTGTGGTCGATGGGTAGACAACTGTAGGTGTAGGCTTGGTCACAACTGGAGGGTGTATTTCCAAAGTGGGAGTAGCTGTGGCAAGATACCTATGAATGTATCGTTTTCTTTTTTGTAGGTCTTGTGATTTTTTATTTGTAACAAACCAGCCAACAACACCCAACCCCAATAAATCTTTCAGCCTACCATCCTGAGCCTCTATTTCAACTTGCTGTAGTACTACCAAGTGACGTTTTTGAACATTTCCACAACCAACCAACCACTTAATAACAATGCTGTGTTCATTATCTGGTATTTCAAGGTGCTGGTGCTTAGAACCAAGTTTGAAATTAGGATTGGAATCACCTGGGCCAGCTACTAATGCAGTTTTGTTAAAATGGTTCATTTCATCACATTCCTTAAGGTCAAATAACTGTAGAGATGGTAATGGAAAGTTGTAAGAGTTAGAGAACCTCTTCAACATATTCACTTTACTCTGCGGGGTAATATCATAGAATTCTTTATTACCAACTTTTAATATAATTAATGCAGTTGTAACATGCTTATTCTTTTTGCAGTAAATTATATGTTGATGGTGATGCCTAACATCTATATTGCTATCTGGATTGTTGTCATAATTTTTAACATTATTATTCTCATTTAACAATTGTAATTTTTTATTATCTTCTACTTCAATTTTAAAAATGTCAACTGTATTTGATGTTGATGACTTCACTTCGATGAAGAACTGTTTACCAACGTCATCTTGCCTGGCAACTCCTAGCAATTCTTTGTTAACACTGTCATATTCCAGCCAGTTTGGTAAAAAATCCAGGCCTGATTCAGTGAGCTATTGAATATATTAATATTTATGAATCCCAAAAATTTATATAAAAAACTATTAGTCTGCATCAACATTAGGTAATCTATAACTAAATAAACACACATACCTGTTAATTAATTTTTAATTTTACATTGTAATTACTGTTATAAATGTATTGAATACCATTTTAATCATTTTTTTATTTGTCAGACCATTGAAAAAATTAATTCAAGTTCTATTTCATGCATTCAACAATTGTTACAAAAAACCTTTTAAAAACAGAAGACTAACGAAATTAATCACCTCATAGCTGTCTGCTGACTTTGGTAGCTGGTAAACAAATGCTAATCTGGAATAGGCAACAGCATCAGGGAGACCCCAAGATTGATCAAAACTATTAGCATTGTTGCCCACAGCACCACATATATGAAGGATGAAAAACGATACAGAAGACAAAACAAAAGAAAAAGCCAGTTGAGCAAAATACATTATTCATGCGTTGTATAACTTTACAATTAACTTATTAAAACTATTTAAATTTTTTATTATTTGGTTTATTTATTATAACTTTATAGTTCATATGTCTTTTATATGGGTTTTTATTTATTTCATTAGATCTTTTTTCTTTATGTTTATTAAATAAGATTATTAAGAATTTTATTTTTTATTTATAAATTATAAAATTGTAGCTTTTTACATGTTCCTTATAATTTAAGAAATTAAGTTGTTAACCTGTATGTAGTCCAGTATATTAATTTAATTATTATATTATAATAAAATAGCACAACCAAATTTATTGCTAATTGAATATTATTATATTATATTATTCAAGCCTGATTTTCTGTTCTCTTCTAACCTGACAACAAGCAAAACACATTTGTGGAGAAAAAAAATTAAATTAAATTGAGAACTCTGAATTCCTGTATGTTCGGGTTAAACTAGTTTAGTTAACTCTTACTTAAGACTTAAGAGTTATTTATGGTTTTGCTTGGGTTGTGATTGATGATGAGTGTCTCTGATTGTGGGTCTGTGTTTCTGTTGGATGTCATTTTATGAAACTATCTACAAATAAGCAACTGCTGATTTGCAAACTTTCAGAAATATATTTGAAAAAATAAAAATTAGCAACGCATTTTTAACAACTAAATACAATATAAAACATTTATAACATGTAAAAAATCAACTCAGAGGCCATGATTATTAAAATGGAGGCAACAGGGATGTAACGCCATCATGATATTTCATAAAAACATAACCATATAGAACATTTAAAATATAGAATATCATGATAATATATATGATAATAATAACTAAGACACACAGCGTCGAGATATCTACATTTCGTGATTAACTGATTAAAAAAATTGATATGCGAATGCCTCAAAACATTTTGCTGATTAGTATTTTTATGCGGTGACCAAATGCCACGGTTGGATAGTAGAAAAACTGTAGTGTTTTGTACTGTGTACTGTATTTAGAATTTAAAATTTAAAATTTTATAAAATTTCTATATTTTAATTATTTTTATTATATAGAATTTAAAATTTTATAAAATTTCTATATTTTAATTATTTTACTAAACATTTTATTTAAATTACATTATTTTATTTATATAATCTACATAAACTTTAGTTATTATGATATTTACAACAAGGTTAATTTATTTCACAATTTAATACATATTTTATTTTCTATATTTTCACATTTTACATTAGACATTTATTTTAATTAAATTATATGTTTAAACAATATTTAGGCTCTGAAGATGGCATTACGCCGAAACAGCGCTGTTAGCTTTATTCCAGTTTTAGATAAATATGAACTCAAACAATACCGCCTCGTTGAATGTCTTATAAAGAAGTTATTTAATGCAAAATGGGCAAACAATTTCAATGAAATTTGCATATATATATATATATATATATATATATATATATATATATATATATATATATATATATATATAATTAAATTATATGATCCTGTATACAAATGTATATATTTGTATGTTATATACGTTTAAATAGACATACCTTGCCTGATATATTTAGCATGAAGTCGATTAACTTACCCGCTATATAAAAGTAAATCAGACGAGCAGGTTTGTGTGAGAGTTCTGAAAAGAAAGATTTCAATCGAGTGCGCTCATCGTGCCTTTCTTTTATCTTCTTATGGAGAACTTGCTATATTTGCATGAAATATTTCTTTTTATTTAATGTTATTCAAATCGCTTCAAATAATTTTTTTATAATTTTAACCAGAACCAAAGCAGGTGCTATACGAAAATGATGTATTATAAGTGTAAATATTTGTTTCGTTGGCGGTTTCTTTGATATTTAACTCATTTCTATATTTAATTGAAGTGCATCGACAATTTTTGAAAAATTACATAAAAGTCAATTGTGGTATAAATTAATAATAAAGATGAATTGAATAAATTCTCAGTATATCTGTATATATCACATAATACCTACTTTTTGTCTTATGAACGAGGGGCATTATAAATGCGTAAATAAGTGAACTGTTGTGTTGATTGTTGAAGTCTGCCTGGATGGGTAGGATTGAGTGAACTGTTAAGTTATGGAAGGCAAGGATTGCTTCATAAATGCTGACCTACTCGATGAAGGTTAGTGTAATTGTATACTATTGATAAAATGTACAAACAAATTTGTTTTTTAAATTTTAAATTTCAAGAAGAAATTACGAAAAATATGATTCAACCGGTAAAAATTAATTGGTTATTATTTATGCGTATGTAAGGCTTGTGCAAAACGTATATATAAACATTCTATGTACGCATATTCACACACTCACACACACATACACTTACATACATATACATATATATATATATATATATATATATATATATATATACATGTATATATATATATATATATATATATATACAATTGTTTATAAAGATCACTGCGTTTTCGGCATTATTCAACTTGTAGTTGAGTTTTTCAATTTTGATATTTATGATAGTCTAAACCCGAAGTATATATATATTAATATATATATATATATATATATATATTTATATAGATCAAGAATACGACACCAACTAAGTAACTAAAAACTCTAAAAACTAGTGGCTTACAAAATTTCCGTTTTAATGTTTAAATGTTTAAACACCATGGCCCCACAAAATTTAATTGATAAATGCACACCAATAAATAGACGTAACATCACACGAACACAAACTTCGTTCAAAGGTTTCTAACATTTTAACGGTGGCATTAACAAGGCTTAAGACAGGTTTGAGGGATTTTTCTGCGTACGGACCGTTGATTTGGAACGGTTTCCCCAAAAGTCTTCGTGTATCAGGCTTGTCTTTAAGTCAATTTAAGAAAGATCTTAAAACTTACTTGTTCTAGGTTAAATAAATCGTTATAAGTCTGTGAGAATACCCCAATTTTATAACGGGCGCTATATATATATATATATATATATATATAGTTAAATATGACTTGAGATAGCACATGCCATAAAATTGCCATGAAAAAGTTACGTTGAATGAAAATAATAGATTGGGCTTGCAAGTCTTTATTAAAGTTGTCTGAAGAATCAGATTTTCTAAAAATAATTTACAAAAATGTTCAGAGATTGATCGTTGGGAATATAAACTTATATAGAAATTAGAATGCAAGTGATTTATAATTGATTCAATATTTCTGCGTTTATCGAAGTTCGTCTAATGAAGAGATGGAAAAACCAAATGTTCGCATATACACGCACCTATACTCACATTTGTAGCCACACGCCATCATACATACAAGCAAACCGCATAAATTTATGAGCCACTCCGAAATCAGCGCATGCATCTAGCCTACTGAGCAAAAACTCTAGCGATGGTCTGTCATCCCGTAGTTTCCTCGAGCAAAAACATCGAGTCAGACATCTCAAAAACTTATTACTCATGAGCACAGAAGCACTGCTTGACTTTGATTAGAGTCTCTCGATTTCTGTTTTCTATTTTTATAAAGCAAAACGCACACAAACAGTTGGAAGCGTCGCCCAAAGTCGGCTCAGCGTATTTCAACAGTGCATTGCCTATTTTCATTTATTTTTTTTGTTTATCTTCAAATACTAACTAGTTACTGAAAAATGAACCAACTTAAGATGCCCAGACCCAATAAACCCACCAAAAAAACTACAAATTCACTTTAATATTTCAAGAATTAAATTAAAATAATAACGTGACTAACAAATTATTTTCTACATATATCAAACAAATAAAAAATGATTGACCTGAATACAGCTCCGAGATTCTGGTTGTCGAGGAGATGGCGTCTGGCAATTCTCAGTTGCATCGGGTTTTTAATCGTCACCTCGAACAGGCTGGGTGTGGAGGTGGCCCTCCTCTGCATGTTTAACAAGACCAACAGTGACGTCATCACAGGCCAGCCAATCACAGCTCGTTTCCCTGCCCAGATAGGTCTTAAAGAGAAACATTTTGAATTAATTTACACGGCTTCGGATGAACAAATGACAAAAAATGAAACTCATTTTGGTGATGGTGACGAAGGCGCTGGTGATGATGATGACGGTGACGGTGGGGGAGATTACAGCGACGACTACACGAATGGGGACGTGTACCACAACTCGACAAAGAGCAGAAGAGAAGTTGAAAGGAAGGTCAGTGAAGCTAGTGAAAACTTGGCAGCAACATCTCTGACGTCAATTGGCCTTTCAACTTCGGCCACTAATTTCCTCAATAATAATCAAAGCACGACAATGAAGAAACTTAAAACAACAAATAATCTTTTAAAAACAAATGTAACGACAATCGCGATGCCATCACCATCATCATCATCGATGACGACATCATCCACAACGACATCATTATCATCTTTCTCATCATCATTAGCATCGTCATCAACGTCATTTCTACAAGCGTTATCACCACCATCTTCATCAGCGACACCGTCATCGGCACCATCGTCGTCAGCACCACTGCCACCAGTTGCCACCACCTTTGGTTATGAAGAAAGAAAAAGTGAAGCGTCTCAGTACAGAACTACGGGCAGTGAACTGGCTCAAAATTCAACAACCACGACACCATTATTATTTTCAAACCTGTCATCACCGTCACCATCATCATCATCATCAACGTCAACGTCATCTTCCTCATCATCATCTTCATCATCGTCATCATCAACCCGTTTTACGAGAGCTTCTCCTTTACATCCCACATCACCATCATTATCGTCATCATCATCGTCATCATCAACGATATCAACAACTTTTTTATCTCCATCATCGACAATTACGTCGTCATCAACAACATCATCAAAATCGCCAAAAACATTATCAACATCATCAACATCGATGTTATCATCTTCATCGTCGTCATCATCACTCGTCGCACCAACAACACATTCATCATCCCCATCATTATCTTCTTCAACTTCTCAAACGCCACCATCGTCGTCGTCGTCGTCATCATACAACTGTCGACCGTGGAATACGACAACTCACAGCATCTTGTTTGAGGAACTGCTTAATGTTTCCAAGGTTTTCGTTTGTTCGTTCGTTTATTTGTTCGTTCGTTTGTTTGTTTGCATGCTTGTTCACGGAGGACGTTCATTTCTTTGTCATTTACGTTTTTTGAACATCTCAATTAATTAATGCCGCAGAAATCAGTGAATTGCAATCTTTAGTTAATCTGTGAGACATCAGGAATGTGAATAACCTGGAAATGGTTGAAGTTATTTTTATTTGCTAGGCATCATTATTCATGCTCCTGATTAAACGAACCAGCAATAAACTTTTTATTGATAGGCATCCACATTTTTTTTATGACTTTTGTTTGTTTTAGATGTTCAGCTTAACTCAGTGCTGCAAAAAATAGGGCAGATCATTTTGTGTTTCATTTTAAGCTATAAACATCTTTTTCATTATGAATTCAACAAATTAAGATAACTCTAAACATCGACTACACGCTGTTTGGTAGTTTGTTCAGAAGCATCCCCCTGGAAATCATAAATTTGTGACATATATTTGAGTTTGGCAAAAAAAAATTTATTTATTTCAAATTGTTTAAATGAAATGTTACCGAATTTATAAAAATAATTTTGTCTTACATATTATTTCTATATTGAAACGACAAATAACGTTTTTAAAACTCATAAATCTAAGGCAGGCGATTTATCATGGACGACCAAAGAATTCACAGCAATATGGGAAGCTTATTATCTCGGTGACCTTATATCCAAAATACCATCTGCACTTTTGGTTCAAAGATTCGGCGGAAAGAAATTGTTCACGCTTTCCATACTCGTTGAGTCCATATGTACAGCTCTGACACCATTGGCTGCGAAAGTTCACTACTTTCCTATCTTGCTGCTCAGACTGGTGTCTGGTCTCAGCGCTGTAAGTTCGTTTGAGAGCATGCAACCATTCATTTTAATGTTGTTTGTTTCAGTCGAATACTTACCAATAATTTCTTCCAATAACGTTAATTATAAAATTGATTTGTTTCAATTTGTATATTACTCTAAAAATTACATCTTCCATTTTTTTTAATAAATTTTCTTATTTATTCACTGTCATAATATAATTAAACTATAACCATAAGATAAATAACAAATACCGTTAACCTGTTATTGACAACTAATTTAAATGAGACCATGCCTGTTTGAAACTTAACATGCTCCAACTGAATACGCACTAATTGCTGCATTATATATGAGATTATACAAATAACAACAAAAACAACAGCATACAATTATAATTTAATTGACATTAAAAGTAAAAAAAGCATTTTTCAAAAGTCCGAGTCAAAATAGTTGTGTTATAATAAATGTTATGTTAAGAAATTTATTTCCAACAGAAACATTAAAAACATCTGCCTCCAATGAAATTAATGACGCAAGCAGATGCAACAAAAACAAAATCATCACTACTAATAATTCTAATAATATTAATAAAAAACACAACATATACCACAACAAGTACAAAAAAACAACAACACTAATAAAATAAAAATCTTACGAAAAAACTCAAACGCGATAACAAAACGAAGCATTCTTGTTAACATTACACTAACAGCCGCACTAGCAAGCAAACAAAAATTATTAAAAAAAGAAAACATAAATGGAAAAAAGAGAAAGCGCCTATATAGATCTATGCAGAAACGCGTATATATTTACATGTGTGCATGCAGCCCACGTGCATCACGAACATGCATACCTTCGCTGGAAGAATCAAATTAACCAAAGTTGTTATCCACAGTTTTTATTTTGCTTTCCAGTTGCGTTCTCGTGCGAACCAAATTTTTTTATGTTGCATGAATGAATGTTCAAAATGCTTCAAAATTTTATGTATTTTTGCACCCCAACGATATGACATACCTTTGAAAATTTCTTTGAGCAATTGGTGTCATTATTTATAAAACTGCTGTTTAAATTTTTTTCATTATAATTGAAATTCTGCTCAGTTTTCATTTTTTCAAAATAGTTACTTTGTTTTTGTTTAATGCCTCAACATGTGTCGTCATGTTCACCTGATCCTAGCAATCAACATTTTCTGCAACCTTAACATCCTTTACAGTTTTCTGTCCAAAACCAATTCCACACATCAAGAGTGTTTCATTTTTATATTCAATGCACTTTTTAATCATATTTTGGATCGAATTGTCGACTTGTGGATTGAATTGTCGACTTGTGGATTGAATTGTCGACTTCCAAATGAAATGAGTTATTCAGTATATAAGCTTATTACCGTATTTAGGTATTTAAGCAGTTAAAATAAAATATGAGTAGTCTCCATTAAATGAAGAAATTAAAAACTATAAAAATTTGTTCAAAATTTGTTTGGCAAAGTTGAAAAATCGTGGAAATGTAAACAACGCAGTGGTCGGTCAACATTTCCTGTCCTTATTAGTTTGAAAAAGTGTTACATGCGTAAATTTAACTTAACGCGCAAGAAACTTTTTAAACTGCGTCTTATTTATGAGACTAAAAACTTTCGTTCTCTTTTTGAACCTACTAATCGTACCGTAGTTTGAATTTTTAGCCTAAAATAGCCGTGACATCGTGAGATCAGGTATTTGACGCCCACTCAGTAAAAATTCTGTGCTGTTGTTTAGTTCTTGATGATCAGTTCCACTTCAACGATAGTATGAACGGTGAGGCGGTTGAGGATGGTGAGTTAAGTGTAAAGTGTTGGAATAAAGTTCAGAAACCCTAACCAACAAATGCCCCATAGTTCTGCATGGTAGATATTTAGAACTTTTTCATTGAAATTAATTGATATCTAGGAATAAATATCTTGGCCTTTTATCAAAAGATAAAATTCAAATTTTACATATAAAACGTTCTAATTTTAAATGAAAAATTTGATTAGCTGAATAAAGTTGTTGAGTTGTTGTTGTGCAGGTAAATACGTGTTTTTAGCACATAAGAAACGCTCATAAATAACGTTAGAAGAACACGTAAACCAATTAAACAAAACAAATGAACAAATAAAATAAACATTATAAATGAACAAAAAGGCAATTAGTATAAAAGGCAGAAGTAAATAGCACAACGTAGTCTAAAAATTATGTTCAAGATAACCATCTTGATTATTTGTTTTGAAATAAAAATAACATTTCATATTAATCTGGTAGGTAATATTAAGATCAATTTGTTTAGTAGTATCACCATCATCATCAGCATCAACATCAGCAGCACATTATCATCATCGTCGTCATCATTATATTTCCAACATCATCATCTTAATTTTACAATTTTGAGTTCGTTTGCAAAGCATCTAATGATATTAAAACTCGGAAACTCTCCTCTTGAAGAAAGCTGCGAGCAAAATAATGTGCATCTGAATTTCGTGTAGTTTTTTATTTATAAAATAACCAAACATGAATCACTTTTTACGATGTGCATAACATTACCAAACGTCATTTTAGATTTCATCTTTTACACCAAATCAGCATTTGTTTTTTGTTTTTCTGTCATCGAAGTTGTTAAAGTTATTATTAGTTACGTCAATTAACGACGTATCACGTTGCGATTTTTATTTCTAAGACGTCATTTGCTTGTTGGAGCTGGCGTGTTCGCTTTACAGGCAGGTGGTTCTGTGTGGTCATGCCGTGTGGTGGTGTGTGCTGTCACAGGAAACTGCGCATCTTGAATGTAATGAACCCAACGGACCAAAAACTTGCAACAAGTTAATCACGATGTACTGACGCCGACATTAAGCACGGAGAGAATTTTGACTGAGGAAACTTGAAATAACAGTAAAAATACTCGTGAAATGTTTTGCCACCAGACAATAATGATTGACCGTAAATTTTGTAAAAGTTTTGAATAAATAATACGTTTGATTGATTTTTAATTTCGTAGATTGAGCTTTTTCATGAAAGTTAAAAATTTACACAGTGATATGCAAAAGGCCACCAGTGAATTTAACACAGGAGTGTTTATTTGGAAGCATATTTGCAATCCAACCAAATATAAACAAGTTCGCTTTGTTGTGCGCTACATGAACACAAAAGAAAAAAGTACACGGTGTAATAATTAAAAATATTTGAGCACATTTAAAATTGAGGAATAAAAAGATTTCCAATGCAAATGCAGGCAAGCGCTCAAACGTTAGACAGCTTGTTTAGTTCTGCAACTTGAACATAGCATCAGCCAGCCAGCCAGCCAGCCAGCCTGCCTGCTTGTTATTTCCTTCCTCATCTGCATTATTTTTATTTTGCAAAAATGCATATGTTCCAATTCTGCTGATAAGAGTTTGTCTTATCAGCAATTCATAGATAAGTAATTTATTGCGTCCCAAACCATGCTTCATAATCTTCAATAATGCCGTTTAAAATAAACAAAAATATATTCCTAGAATGAGTTAGTTGTACGCATGAACGGTTGTTTTTCAGGTTTATTAAATGTGAAAGTGCTGAGCCTTTTGTTTTTGCACACACGCATCTTTATACACGCATTTAAATGCATGTACGCATATGTATGTACTTGTATATGTGCTTGTATATAATTGTATATGTGCTTGTATATAATTGTATATGTACTTGTAAATAATTGTATATGATTGTGTATAATTGCATGTACCTAATAAATTATCCTATCCTATTAATTTGGATATATTTTTTATAAGCTTTATACACACTCACGCGTGCGCGCGCGAACACACACACACACATGCATACATACATACATATATGTATATTGGATTAAGCTGTCAGAAATGCAGTTATTGATGAAAATCACAGCATATTCGGCGTTACTTAACTTCCAATTTAACTTTTCGATTTTTCTAACGGTTGATCGTAAATCATTTTCATGTTTCTTTAGTTGAAAACCCAAATTTTTGTTTGTTTTATGCATGATAGAACAGCTTTTTTCGATATTTCTATACCATCTTGGGTGTTCAAATTGATATGTTGTGGTCAGTGGTTGTGCCCAGATAATCAACTATTTCTATACTGTGCCTATTTATTTGTTCCCTGTTTATTCAAAGTGAATATTTAGTTTTACAATTTTTCATCATGTAAAATATATCACTTTACGTGTTTTCATAATCGATGATTCCTCTGTTTCTAAATTTATTGGTGGGAATAATTCCAATTGCCCGTTGTTGAATATTTATTATCGGATGTCTTTGTTCTATGTGTATTGATTCGGCTAGTCGTAAATTATAATGGTTGTTGTTGTAATGTAAGATTTCAACATTGTTGTCTAAGATTTGTCTAGTAATTTTAGTTTTGTGTTTCTCTTTCATGTGATTCTTTATACCGCCAGTCTGTACGTGCATCGTGAGTCTTCTCTACAACTTGGTCGTCGTCATACCAATATATTCAGAATTATGGTGCCCACACTCACCAATATTACATTTGAACAAATATATTAGATGGCTATGGTCCATTATCAATTCTGGCTTACTAGTGCAGTTGTTTTTCATCACAAGAGATGACGTTCTTTGGTTGGAGTAGTATATTTGAAGTTTAATACAATCATTCTCGTTGATTGCTTGGACTTTATTTTTTATGATTCTTTTCACAATTTTTTCATCCTGCTCGAAAGCGGTTGACATTTGATTCTTATTATATATTACTATGTTATTTTTGTTACTATTGTTGGTTGCATTGTTGTTGTTACTGATTATTTGTTCTTTGCGTTCTATTATTTTCTGAATCATGAAATTTTTATATCCATTGTTAATAAGTAGTTTAGTGATTCTATCTATTTTTGTTCTCCTTCTTTCTATATCAGAAGAGTGTGTGTAGGCTCGCTGGCTCGGTTTACAAAAGCAGAGATCGTACTCATAGACCTTTGTTTGCTGCTTTGGTGTAGACTGAGGTTTTAAATTCATTTAGCACATTTGGCAGTTTGTTGTCAGTTGATTTTTCCATTGTAAACTTTAATTGCGACGAGTTTAGTCGTTGTAGAAGTCTGGCTATTTGACCATCGTCATCATATGTAACAAAGATATCGTCGACATATCGACAATATATGTTAGGTTTTAGCTCTGGTTCTTCTTTAAATAACATTTCTTCAATATGTCCAACATAAAAGTTTGCGAAGAGTACTCCCAATGAGGAGCCCATTGCTACACCGTCTATTTGCTAATATAGTGTGTTACCCGGGCCAACGAAAGGCGCTTCGGCTGTACATATTCTTAGCAGCGCAACTAATTCAGCTATTGGAATTGGTAGTGATGAATGACTGGAATTGTATATTCTATCTATGATTATGCCGATTGTGTCCTCTACAGGGACATTTTAAAGAGTGATTCCACATCCAAAGATGCTATTTTGGTGTTAATGGATGGTTTTGTTGTAGACAATATATCTATGAATTCCCTACTTGATTTTAAGTCCCTACTTAGACTAATTATTGGTCGAAGATGTTTGTTAGCCTTATGCGTCTTGACCGTGCCGTATTCATATCCGGGTTCATATTCACCCGTGATTATTAGTATTTTCCTTTCTGTTTTGTCATTGATTCTTCTACAATATATTGAATGAGATCATCAGATAAATCATTAGTAATATAAATTTTAATAATAATAATAATAATAATGAAGATTTAATTACATGCAAAATGTTTGTAATTATCACATATTTTTATATATGCACAATTACACATTATTCAAAATTATAGTTGCAGTTTTCGGAGTGTTTATTTTAATCCGTACGTGCGTAGGGATAAAAATTTTGATTGATCACATATAATAAGAATAAGCTAAAATATGCAGGCCATGCCGGTCCAAGCCGAACCAAACAAAGCTGCCCCAGGTTGTAAAGTTGTTTGAGCAGATGGCCGTCTAACAATGTCAACAAATTTATTTCATCAGGAGCAAATTTTTGTAATTTGATTTGCGCTAATGAAAACAAAATATTTTGATATCTAGGTACAAATTTGCATATAATTTCTTATTTGTTGAAATCTGGGATCATTATCATTTACGATTTAGAGACAGTTCGGAAGCTGATTGAATAAATTTGTTGGATTACCTATATTTTGATAGTAATTAAGTTCGAAAATATCCATCGAACCATCAAACACTTAAAATATATTAAAACACTAAATTATTAAATTCTGTTTTAAATTTAAAATTCAATATGAAGAAAAAACAACTAAAACTGATTTCGTTTGTTCAATAATTAATTGTATTCAAAATGGCCGTAATTTCAAGACCGAGTGAACGAGGGAAGTTTTGCAGGTAAATATAATAAAATTAATTTTTGCTCCGTTCTAATAATTTATTAACAATACTAAAAAATTTAACAAAGCACAAAAGACATTAGAAACAACTTTTTAGTTTTTAATTTAAATTTTTATTTTTAAAATAATTTTGAGCACCAACATTAGCGCCATGGCTAAAAAATCTTCAAAACGGAACCGAATCGGCTTGAAACTCCAGCCGAGCCAAATCTGTTTCACTGGCTAGCCGTGGCTTGAAAATCTTTAAAAGCGAACGGAATCAGCTTAAAACTCGAAGCCGAATCAGCTGCATTGGCTCGGCTTAACAACACTACATATATGTAATGTTGCCTTGAATTATATCAATACAATTACTCACAAACATGTTTTACGAGCAAGTTACGAACAAATCAATCAAATCATTTGTTTCAATTAATCTTTTCAAGCAAATGAATAGCATTTAAATGTTATTCATTTGCTAGACCACACCTCATTAATTTGAGGTTTTTATGTTAACATCGTGCACATGCATTGTTCACCAGATGCATCGTTTACCTCAAGCATTGTTCACACACATTCATTATTCACTTCACATACATCGTTCACAAGTATTGTTCACACGTATCGTTCACATGCTATGTTCAACACCTGCATCACCTGTCTTCCAAACAAGATTTCAAACAATCAACGGCTGTCATAACACAATTTCTTTGTATAAACAATACTTTTGATAAACGAGCATATGTGTGCAATTATATGAAATATGTAACAGATCAACAAACGATTATACAATCTATCTCCTCTGTAAATTGCGAAAACGTGAATGCATCAATCACATGCATAACATGTTTGTATGGGCAAGAAAGCAACGCGCGTGATCCAAACTATAGGCACAGACACACACACACACACACACACACACACACACACACACACACACACACACACACACACACACATATATATATATATACAAACATACATATATTTTGGAAGGAGACCATGTTTTATACAGTTATTGTATGAATTCTGCCGAATTGTTGGCATTAATCAATTTAAAGTTTGTCTTTTCAGTTTTCTTTACTAGAATTTTTTGGAAATTGTTCAATTTATTGAAAATAGAGTTATTATCTAAGCTCATCATGAAAATTTAATAAAAATATATATATGAGTAATGGTTCGGCCAGTTGTAAATTATAATGGTTGTTGTTGTAATGTAAGATTTCAACATTGTGGTCCAAGATTTGTCTAGTAATTTTAGTTTTGTGTTTCTCTTTCATGTGACTCTTTATACCGCCAGTTTGTACGTGCATCGTGAGTCTTCTCTACAACTTGGTCGTCGTCATACCAATATATTCAGAATTATGGTGCCCACACTCACCAATATTACATTTGAGTAAATATGTTTACATTTGGCTATGGTCCATTATCGATTCTGGTTCATTAGTGCAGTTGTTTTTCATCACAAGAGATGACGTTCTTTGGTTGGAGTAGTATATTCGATGTTTAATACAATCGTTTTCGTTGATTGCTTGGACTTATGTTTTATGATTCTTTCATGATTTTTTCATCGGTTAATGAGTTTGTTTCTCATTCTTCCTAATTACTATTATTATCAGCGAGATCGCCGTCTATTTCACCATTAACACAATCATCGCCATCATTTTTATCATCATAATCATCATTATCTTCATCATTTTTTCTGATCATCATTATCATCATAAATATGATTAAACAACGTTTTTGTCTGTATGTTTGAGGCAAGTTAGTTGATCTGCATTGGTTGGCTGATTAAACTAATTTATTACTTTTAACACAAATTATAGGAAATGGACACATTTATATACACGTACACCACACCCTGATAAATAGAAAAGCACTGAGGCCTACAACCAGACATGAAGACAAACACAGAAGAACATAAACGTGTACATTAGTCATGCGTGTTAATACTTTCATTGACGTCATTTATAACCTTGGTTTATTTATTAGAACTCGCTCTACAGTTTCCTACCGTTGAGTTTGCTTTGTTTTTTTCTTGCAATATTAAGCAAAAATGCAGTGCAGTTGAATTGCATGGTGTGATGATGCGATGTGATGTGGTGCAGATATGTGTTCCTGCATTGAATGGTTTTGTTGTTTGTTCTCTTGCATGCTGTTGTGTTGCAGAGTGCTAGTTTGATTAGATCTATCTGATTAATCATTGTAGGCTCTTATCGCTCTTTATATCGATGCTATTGTTCAGTAGTCAATCTGGTTCATTGAAAAACAAATTTCCTGACGTTAAGAATCTCTGCTCAAAACATATTGAAACATTTAACTAAAACGTAATTTTGTAGTCGTAGAATTGGGCTCATGAATTTTTAACAACAATTAATTTCACTAATAAAGTTTATACAGTTAACAACATTGATTTTTGCTGCATTGATCGCATTTATGAAAAATTATCCGTAATGAGCGTATTTTTTAGCAAAATAATTTCTGTGGTTTCGTGCAGTTTAAATTTTAATATTTTCATTTCCAAAATTCTTGATTTTTTTTTATTTAAAACATGAACTGGACAACGTAAAACTTGGGTTGACTTTTGGAAATTGTTGCAACATGTTGCTTGACCCATTAGGGCCCTGACCGGCTTCTTAATAGTTTTCAATGGAAAAACCAAAAAATTAGAAAACTTGAAAAAAAGGAAACAATTTAATCCTTTTGATCAACTTTGATTAGATTTGCATAGACATATATGTATTGTTTCTGCAAGTATGTATGTATGTATGTATGTGTGTTTGTGTTTGTTGTTTAATAAAATATTACATAATGATTTATAAGTACACAAAAAAATGTTTTCTCATTAGCTTTCATGTTGAATTTGCTGAAATTTGGTTTATAAACATGAAATTATATAATTGTGGACGTTTGATTTCTTTTAAAAAATAAAAAAATGCTAATATATAATATATCTGCATCATTTTTATCTTGGACGGAAAAGAAATTTGTTACAACTTTGTTGCACTTAGTCTTTCATATTTGTTGTCAGTAATTTAAAGGAAATTTTAAAACATGCAGGGAACGAACTGATTTTAGAGCAGAGCTGATTTTAACTCGAGTGCCACAACTTGGTCTTTTTTGGTATATATATCGTATATACCTTATCGTTCAAAGAATTTGAAATTAAAAATTATACAAATTCTCATTTTAAGTAAAAATAAAATTGAAATTATCAACAGTTTTTTGTGTAATATAAGTTTCAGATTCAATTTATTATTTAAAAAAAATTTCGCTTATATTGGAATTGGATCAAAATTATTTTTTTAAATTAAACTTGCACAAAATGTAGGATAAGATTATTATCATATTAGAAAGCAAATTTCTTTTCAGTTGTGTTCAAAAAATGTTTAACCAAAACCAACTTGAAGTAATGTAAATGCTATATTAACAAAGCATTAAAAAGACACTGTCAAATCATGTTACTTCCTACTATAATATCTCTTACATTTCATCTACGGAGTTGCTAATGAAGTAAAAGTTTTGCTACAACATAAAATTTTTAGTTTTGCTATTCAACATCGAAGCGGCACAAACACTAATGAGCCGTACCATGCTGAAATTAGTTTTTATAACATCGAATCGTTACCATATTATTAAGTTCTTATCAAAACATTTATCTTCACAACCACACATTCAATCCAGGCAAACATTTTGCAAACATAAACTAATAGTTGAAAAAGATTGTATTACTATACTAAGCTACTTTGAATAAACACGTTTTTTTGGCGGTGGCGAATCCAGAATTTATGATCTTTTTTTGCTATTTTCCATAATTTCCGTTTATTCCCGTTATTTATGGTGGCAATTGCAATTTAAAAAAATGTGAAGTTAATGACCTATTTAGCTAATTTTCGTTTAATTAATTTATTGCTGCATTTTAAACATAATCTTTTATATTTTCTTCTTTCACGGTCAACCGGGGGATGGATCTCCGCACTCCCCCCCCCCCCTGGATCAGTTCGTTGTGTATGTTGTCAGTTACAATGTACTACTGGCCATTAAACAAATAAATATTAATATAATACTAAATATAAATAAGTACAATGTAAATATAATAATATAAAGCCATTTGATAAAATGAAGCAAGGTAATGATGAATGTTTAAACAGGGTTTGAGCACGCCAGCTATGTTCTACATGATGGGCAGATGGTCACCCCCAGATGAAAGATGCCTACTCATGGCCATTGTCAACACGGGTTTGTCTGTTTGTGTTTGGTGTGTTTATTTGTCTATCTGTATGTTTGTCCATTTGTCTGTCTGTTTCTTTGTCTGTTTTTCTATCCGTATACCTGCCAGTCTGTAACTTGTCAGTTTAAACGCTTTTCCATCAGTCGGTCTGTTTTTGTCTATTTAAAATTTTGTCTGTCGGACTGTTCCATAACTTTTTGGCTTGTGCATTTAATGATGAAACTGTAGATAGTGAAGTGATACTACAACTTTGCCGTTCTTTTAATTTCTTACGATTGATCGTATATTTTATGTTTTTAATGATTTAAATCATTACCATTCAAATAATCATTTTGATCAATACCCCGGCAATTTTTGCAGACATCGTACCCATCATCATTCCGCCATTGTCTATCTACCACAACCACCATCACCACCATCATCATCATCACCCAACCACCACCACTCCCACCATTATCTTCCCTGTTAGGTGGTTGGATGAGTAGCAGTGTAGTTATCATTCCCGTATCCTGTCTTCTCTGCTCCCATGGGTTTGCTGGTGGATGGGCTTCCGTCTTTTATGTCTATGGTTTGTATATTTTGTGTATGGATTGGATATTTTGTATATGGTTTAGATCATTTATATGGAATGTATATTCTGTCTATGGTTTGTATATTTTGTTTATGGTTTGTAAATTTTTTTAACGGTTTGGATATTTTGATTGTAGTTTAGATATTTTTTTATATTTTGGAGATTTTGCTTATGGTTTGAATATTTTGTTTATGGTTTGGATATTTTATTTATGGTTTGTATAGTTTGTTTATGGTTTGGATATTTTGTTAATGGTTTGTTAATTTTGTTTATTGTTGTTATATTTTGTTTATGAAATGTGTATTTTATCAGTGAGATCGGTTTGTTTCTTCGTCAAGGTTTCCTGATACGATTAATCTCAAAGTTCAGACATACAAACTGATTACCGGAAAAGAGGATACACCGTTTACCAGATTTTTCCAATGAGAGTCTAGAGGAGGATTACGAGTTCATAGATAGATTTTTAAGAAGTCAGTTGGTAAAATCAAGTAAAGATTTTTCAGCAGCAGGGTGGTAAACACCTGGAATGAGCTGAATGACAAGACGGTTTCCGCTGAATCAACCAACAGTTTTAAGATCAAACTGGGGGAACTGGGACATTAGGACAATTAATTAGCGGTGGTTTTCACACAGTCACTAGTCTAGTGAACCACTATAAACCTTGTTTTGTTTCTGTTTATGTTTAAGTTCTTCAACATTTAATCAATTTAGTAAGATGTTATGCTAAATAAATTATTTGCACACAAGTTTGAAGACATGATCTTGCATTCTGAAATAATCGTTATCTTAAAAAATCAACTGCCCAGCTAACATGGCAAATAGCGGGCAATTATAAAGCAACGTCTTTTACCATCATTTCGATGATGAAAAGTTACAAACCTAAAAAATTCAACTAAAGTTACAAATCTTTGATGTGGTAAAAGGTAGCAAACAGGGTGAAACCTAATTTCAGAATCTGAAAATGACGTAAATGATGATAAAATGGCAATGAGTAATGTTGTGGTTGTTGTTGAGTGTGTGTGTGTGTGTGTGTGTGTGTGTGTGTGTGTGTGTGTGTGTCTGTATTCTCAATGCGAGTGACGTCATGGATCTATTTAAAGTTTGTAGCATCCACTTCACGATGATCTCATTCAATGTTTGTCTAGTTCATCGCTTGTCGGTACATTCTTCATATGCATCCTTCTGTGCGTTGTGCATCTTACGTGTGCCTCTATGCGTTGGTGATTGTGCGTTGTTGATCCAATATGCAATTGTCTGAGAATGATGATGGTGAGGATAGGAGGGTATGGTGTATGTTCGTGTTGATCGTTGGAGGAGTGACCGAATCTCAGCAGCATAATTTTTAGTTATGAAACTCTCTTCCAGTTGGTTAATGGTAAGATATCTGATCCTTGCATCTACTCTGGCTTCCAAAACTTTCCAGTTTTCCTAATTCTAAATGAATTATTTTAACTTTTTCAAATAAAAGTTATTCCTTTGTAGTTTTATTAAATTTAACTTGTTGATTAATAAACTAACAACTGCATGTTAATTTAATTTATTTGTTGATAGATCACAAGATGTTCGTCTGTTAACATGGAAATTTTTGTTGGTCTTATTGGGCTCGAAATAATTTTGAGCTATTGTTTTGCGTGAATTGTTTCAAGTCTGTTCCTTTGTTAACAAGATTATGTTAACAAAAATGATTTTCGCTTGACGTTATAGTCCACAAATTTGTCATCCATCTCTTAAATTTATTATGAAATTAAACATACCAGCTTGTGTTATATAAATGTTTTTTCAGATCTAGAAATCAAATATTGTAATGCAAACAGTCTTAAAAATTAATAAAATCTATTTTTAGTCAGAAGGTGATGATGGGGATTTTGTTGGAGAAGGATTTGAGTTTAGCAGAACATTGGATATGTTTCTTAACGAACGAGAAAGATTTAATCCAATTCGTATTTAAATTAAATTCAACCGTTTAAAAAAATGCAACATATAAAAATAACTTGAAAACGTTGTACCGTAGGAAGATTGAGAACTTGATTGAGAAGATTGAGCGCGCATGTTCTTTCCGTACCGATTTTATACATTTGCTTCGTATATGAAACTATAAGTCAATGCAAAATATTGTAAAATAATTAGCTAAATACTTCTTTTACAAAAATTAAGTTTAATGAAAATTTTATTGACAGAACTTTATAACAAGTTAATGTTACGCCACTTGAATGTCAAAAATTCAGAAACTTTTGTTAAACAATCTTTAGGAGGTCTTGGAATGTTTTGGTGCGTTTTGTGGATGTTGTTTTCGAGCGATACTCCGGATCTGGATTCTGGAATGAAGGAGGAAGAGAAGAAGTACATCAATGCAAGCATTCGACTGGCTGAAACGATCGGAGCCAGGAAGACTCAAGGAGTCCCCAAGGTCCATCTTATTTATATGAGAATTTATTTAATTTATTGTTTATTATTTTAACCAATAATTCAATTATTATTGTTTTAATTAAATCCTTTTTGGTTGTTGTCAAATTTATCAATATCAGTTGCTAAAATTATAAAATGCAAAATGTACCGATGCAAAATGGGTTAAATTTTTCCAGTAAAATAGTAATTAGAGTTAACAGGCAATAACATTATATTTGATAGATAAGTTTAATTTGTTTTCACTGTCAGCCAAAAAGCAGCAGTGCCGCGAAAATAAAAACAACAACAACAACAACATTTGGAATCTCACCATCGAAGACGACTTCCTTCTTATTCAACAGAACTAAACGAACAACCACAAAAGTCACAAAAGACAATGAAATCGACATTTTGAGTAACGTTAACATCAACAACAACATCAAAAACAACAGCAACTTCAACATCAACATTGACAACAACGATAACGAAAATCAGGGTTACCTGTTCAAATGGCAGACAGCACTAACATCGCTGCAATTGTTTGTATTATGTTGCAACGAGTTCACACACGAGTGGTTGTTTTACACGTACGTTGTTGTACTGCCCGTTTATGCCAAGCTCATGCTCAACTATCCTATATTCGAGGTGGGAAAAATCGCTATATCAACTATTTTGGTGGAATAATATATGATTAATTATTTGAAAATTTATCTCTTAATAATTTTTAGTACACGATTTCGTCCATCCTGCCATACGCCGGATTCTGGTTTGCCATGATGATGACGTCAGGAGCAGCTGATCGTCTGCATAGTTATGGGGTACTTCCGGTCACTCACATCAGAAAGATTATGAATAGCATTGGTAATATATGTGAGCGACAAGCTAATTTATTTGTGTCGTTATTTTGGCGATGCCACAGACTGTTTCTATTTAAGTTTTTAGTAACTTGATCAATGCTTTGCTCAATCGCCATAAGAATGCCTGATGCTCATTCAATTAGAAAATTTTTTGGTTTTTATAAGATTTTGAATGTGCTAATAACTACAACTAAAATATGTTCGTTAATGTCAGTATTGAGCAATTTTAAAACATTAAACTAATAATGTTAACAATTAAAATTATTATAAAAAAAACATATTTTCAAAATTGTTTTAGTCTAATCCAATATTTTGCGTTTCAATTGGAAATTAGATCCGATTGTTGAAGTGCCAAGTTTTTCTTTTTAGTTGGTTGCCAAGTCACTCGATTCAAATGCATGAATCTATATAAACGTTTTGAGTGTGATGTTATCGCTCGCACATCATGACACTTACAATAATACACACTCACATCACAAAGCAAAATGTTAGTGGTAGTACGTGCTTTTATTGAGCTGAAGGGGCATATGTATCTGTTCATGCTGCTCACTTGTTTTTTATATCTACTGAGATTATTCAGTTTTTATTCTGCTGTTGTTGGTCAAAAAAATATAATATCAAAAACTGAAGGCTCACAAAAACATGCAGGCAGTTTGATATCTTCCTCTCTCTTGCTCTCCTTCCTGCTCTTCAGATGCAACCAACGGCAGGGCCTCATGTACACAGCCATAATCGGAACATCTTTCAACGCTTTCTACCACTGCGGCTCTCTCTTGGCGCCTTTCGATTTGGCTTCCAAGTTAGTTTTTACACTTTTTTTCATGTGGATACAATTATACAAACTCTCAATAAATTTGGATATTAGCAAATGTTCCAAACTTTTTTGACATACAAAAGATGGTTGATACAAATTTATTAACATGCCACAAACGAATATAACAAGGTGCCATATAACACATGATAATAAATGACGCAACATTACAAACTTGCGTTCATAACCACCACAAACATGAACAGATATGCAGCCGTGCTGGTTGGAGTCAGTGGCATGGTAAGGGCCTCCGTGAGGTTTCTTGTGCCCATCTTTGCTGGTTTGCTGCTAAAAAGAGATGATGAAGGAAACGGGGTAGGTCAAAAATTTAGTTTGAATCATTGTAACTTTTTCAAATGATGCCAACATTTAAATACACCAGCTGTTTGACAGGACACAATGGTGCCTACTGTTTGTAGTCACATCGGTCAGTCACATATCATCGGCCCTCCTGTACTTGTTTTGTGGCACGGGTGACCATCAGGCCAGGTGGTTTCACGCTTACCCAGGTTCTTCTCAAATTATGTTACGTCACTACAGCAACGATGCCATAAGCAGTAACGAAGATGAAACAACCGGACGAGAAAGTAAGATGTTCTCTGAAAACGCGACATCGTTATTACCAAAACCGAAAAGTGGCATAAAAGCGGTTGAAATAACTGCTGAAGGTAATAAAGTTAATGAGGTTATCAATTTGAACAAGCAAATCAATTTAACAGCTGCTGATGTGACAACACGTGCGACATTGGCGTGCAAACACAGTGACCATCCTCAGAGCTCTCCATCATTTCTGACCACAACAAAGCCGACAACATTAAAAAATAAATCACCACAATATCCTCGTCACCAACAACTACGTTACCAACAGCAACAACATCAACAATACCATCAACCACCACCTCTTCAACTACCAACACCCACAACTTTTCCCAAAAGATGGACTCAAGTTGATTCGGAAATAACAATGAGTAGCAGCAGAGATGGCACGAGTGAAGACCTTTACAGCGAGGACCACTCCCTCATCTCCACCAACACCTCCGTTGAATGCGATACTTCATTCCATTTCGATATGGCAGATAAGCTCAGCAACATCCACTCGTGCGGTGATTTCCAAATGAACCGAACTAATAAACTTCAGAACACATCTGAAGATGTCAGAGAAGATGCTGTTGGCAAAGAAAAAAGAGAAAACAGTGAAGACAAAAATTTGAAAAGTGCGAAAGGAAAAATAGGAAAACTAGCGGGTCGCCACTCCATATCTTCATCAACGCCAACTTCGGCCAGGAATTGGCTGGAAAAAGTGCGCGGCGGTTTCAGTCAGATCAATTTGAAGAGAGCGAGTTTCGTTCTCGATAGTTCCAGTGACAACAGGAATGATGATGATGACGATGGTGATGATGTTGATAACGACGATGTAGCTAGTTATGATAACAGTGTGGTGCGCAATGATGATGATGATGAAGAAGGTAGCAGTACTAGCAATGCAAGTTTCGTCAAACGCATTGATAAGACTCTTTTCATAGACAGTGACTTGTCAGAGTCAGTTGTATGATGATGATGATGATGACGATGATGATGATGATGACGATTATGATGATGATTAGGATGAGGTTCAAAATTTTGTACGAATTAGTTTATTTATAAGTGTTGTTGTGCGTGTTCTTGTTTGTGTGTGTTTGGGTGTATATGTGCGTATGTACACACATTTTTTTACGTGCGTGTGTTTATTGTGGGTAGATGGTATGGGAGCTGGAGCGACAACTAGTGAGACAAAATGGTGGCGGCTAACGTTGCGGAGATGTGACGAAATGTTCGAAGTGTTGGGAGGTGGCTGTGTTTTGAGCAGGAAGATTACCGAAGATCCTAAATTAGAACTTTGAGATTTTAAAATAATACACGATGAACTTGTTTATTACAAATCAGAGCATTACCAGCATTCATTTTTCGGTCTGAAGTCATTTTTTATCTTCAATTTAATAATTATAATGGAAAGAAATATCTCTTGTGTGGTATTCTCTTTTACGTTCAAAAATAAACACTCATAAAATTATTGTTATCATTTCAATTTTTCCCCAATTAAAAATATTTTATTATTAAATTAAATGAGACATATGTCTTATTTAGTTTAATAATATATGATTGGGCATTAATATATATACGAAAATTTATATGGCGCTAATTAAAAAGTTTTTCAAAAGCGCTTACAAATAAAATAACATACAAAATAGTCGAAGACAAACGTTCATCAAACAAATAAATCAAACATTAAATAAACATTAGATCAGTAAAAAAAACATCAATGATTGACACTACAGCGAAAATAAATATGTTTTCAACATCTTCTTAAATTTCGCAACACCCAGAGCAGGGTCTCGTAGGTCTTTGGGAAGACCGTTCCAGACTCTAGGACCAAACACGGCAAACCTTCTAGCTCCAAGTTTCATTTGAGCCAACGGCACCGACAGATAGTTTAAATCGTCCGAACGCAGGCCGAGGGAAGATGATGCTTTCGACTGACATTTGTTCTTCAAATACTCTGGTGCGGAATTATTCACACTCTTGAACACTATTGTGCAAACTTTGAAAATTATTCGCTTGTCGACAGTCAACCAATGAAGCTGAGCAAGAATCGGAGATACATGATCAAATTTATACGCACCATGAACAATTTTTGCTGCACGGTTTTGAATAGACTGTAACATTCTAATAGATTTATCGGGTAAACCATAATACATACTGTTGCAGAGGTCCAACCGAGAGTGAATGAACGCATGCATTAAACCTTCAATCGTGCTTTTGTTCAAGGATTTTCTTTTAGAACGTATTTTATGTAATTGAGCAGCGCACACTTTAGTTTGTAGTTTGATGTGATCAACAAACGTCAATTTTGAGTCAACGATCATTCCCAGATTAGTGGCATTACTGTTGCACTCAATATTATGTCCATCTAGAGTAACAAAATCAATCAATCATGTGCCTACTTTCATCAGTTTAGTTTTACCCTGGTTGAGTTTCAGTCGATTTGATAACATCCACACACTCACCTCAGTCAAACAATGCACTAACCTAGTAACAGCATCTTGAAATTTATCGGCAGGACAGCTGACAATCATCTGTATGTCATCTGCGTAGGCATGACAAAACACCCCAGATTTATCTATTATTTCTAGTACTTCGGACGTATATAAAAGAAACAGTATCGGTCCCAAAACCGACCCTTGTGGCACACCAGATGTGACAACCTCAGTTATTGACAACTCATCGTTAAACAAAACCTGCTGTGTTCTTGACGTTAGATAAGAGTTGAACCATGAATGAGCAACACCCGTGACCCCAAAACTGAAGTGGATTCGTTTCAACAGTCTCTCATAGTCGACGCAGTCAAAAGCCGCACTCATATCTAGGAACGCCAGCAATTAAATATCCTGTGCATCCACAGCCTTGTATAACACCGACGATATCTGCAGCAGAGCAGTTTCCGTTGAGTGGAACTGTCTGTAGTCTGATTGATGAGCAGACAACAAGTTGTTACGCGCCAGATACTTCAATAGCCCCCGAGCAACGATACGTTCGATGATCTTAGAAAGATTATCATCTGCACACTTATCTGCAATGAGCCATTCTTTTAACTATTCGATCACGAAAATTTAAATTCATAATCGAAAATATTTTGCACCCTTGTCTATTTTTGATGTAGTTTTAATTGTGAAAATAATTTACGTGTAGCGACCGTGCTTCATTATCACCATGAAATGGTGTTCAGTAGGAAATAAACTACACATCAACCCATTTGAACCGTTTTAAATAACAAGAACTGTACGTGGTATGTAGAATGCTGTCTGAACGATCGAACATTATTCATTTATTTTTTATTGACGCTACCATTGACGTATCTAGAGGGCCGAAAAGGCCATGGCTCTCCCGTTTGGAATAGTATTTTTTAAAAATCAGTAAAACTCAGTTTTTGTACAAAAAAAGCAACGTTATAAGTAGAAAATCCACCAAAAAAATTGACGTGATAAGGTAAAAAAATAGCAGCCAGCATAATTTTGGCTACACGATTACAAATGTTGGCTCCCTCCACGTCAAAATGTCAAAAAATTATTTAAACATTTTCAAAATTTTGGTCCTTCCCTCGTCAAAGTTGTCTTGATCTCGACACAACTGACCATGAAGTTGCCAGGAAAATAAATTCATCTCCCATCTCTCGGCTCTCTTTAGCTCGATCATCATAGAAACATTTACTATTTATCATGGAAAGGAATTAGTTCTAAAAAAATATAAATAAATAATATAATTGATCATTTAATCGTTGTAACGCCGTAAAATGGACCGAATACTTTTTTTAAATTTTCTTGAATTAATCATGATCGAAACATCGACGATGTTATAAAATATTGCAACACGGTTGGTATGGAACGTTCTTGAGAATTTAAACTACGTAGCTCAATTCATTGCAGGAATAGAAGGATAAAGTTCAGTTTGGCAGCTACTGCTGTTTAGTGTTCAATCTCATCACATCGCATTACATCTCATTACATTACATCTCATCACTTTACATTACATTACATCACGTTTCATTACATAACATCTCATCGTATCACATCAGCGATGGGTTTCACAACATTAAGTTACGATCGTGTAATTGAGAATTTGTTTACTACAGAAACTTCGAATTTAAAAAATACAACGCTTTTTCAACATTGCAAAGTTCGGGTTATTTTTTAACAATCATAATTCATAATCCTGTTTCAAATAAAAATATATTGCCAGATGTTGATAAGATTATAACTAGAAACACGCAAACGTGTGTGTGTGTGCGCGCGTCTGTGTGTGTCTCTGGCTGATGTCTGTTTGTCAGTCTAAGTGGACACTCAAAAAATGTTATCATAAGTTATTATTTGATTATATTTTCCTTATTTTAAGCTGAATAAATTAATGATCTTATTTTAAGCTGATTAAACTAATGACGATCACATGCTCGAGTTTAAGAAATAAACGATTTAAATAGAAGGGTTGAAGAGGCGGATGATCCCACCACACATAAAATGACAAATAGTCAAATGTATTTACTTAAAAGAGTAAATTAAGAAAAAATCTCACAGCTGCACCACCAATGCAATATTTGGAGATATGCGTGCATTCTATAGAATAACAAACGCTGAGCAGTTTTATCTGAAAACTTATTGTATTCATTCATTCATTCATTCATTCATTCATTCATTCATTCATTCATTCATTCATTCATTCATTCATTCATTCACTCACTCACTCACTCACTCACTCACTCACTCATTCATTCATTCATTCATTCATTCATTCATTCATTCATTCATTTATTCATTCATTCGTTAGTTAATAAACACATGTTTATATTCATTCATTCATTCATTTAATTATTAATTACTTCATTAATTCATTCGTTCATTCATTCATTTATTCACTCACCGCTTCATTATAAACTTTTTTATTTAGTGTTTCATTCATCGGTTAATTCATTTTTTCATTCACTCATTCATACGAATACACTTTAATTTTGACCTATCTCTCTTGAAACACACTTGAACTTTAAAAAAAAGCACACAAGTCAATGTGTCTGTCTGAGTGAATATGTGTTTGTGCCCGTACGTGTTCGTGAGTGTGTATGTGTGTGTGTGTGTGTGTGTGCATGTGTAAGTGTATGTGTGCACGCATGTATTTGCGTTGTTACGTGTGTATATGAGTGTATGTATTGGTATGGTTGTGTATATGTATATGTAGGTTTGTGCGTGCGTGTATGCATGTGTGTGCGTGAATGCGTGCATGTGTGTGCGTATCAACAAAATACGCATTGTATATAATAGGGCGTGTCAATTTTATACCGGAAATTGATTTTTTAGATTTTTAAAAACAAAAGGTTACAAAAAGATACATTTTTATATGCTGAATCCAACTGAACCTTCAGATTTCAGATTTGAAAATTTAAAGCGTGTTAAATTTTATGTTGAAATTTTAGCTAAAATGTTTATTACCGTAATTTAGGAATTAATTATAAAAATCTTCAAAAAAAGAAAACTAATTTTAAGCAAAGAAAAATTTTATATTTCTATTATTACTGAAATTTTTTTAAACTCATATCCTCCATCTGAACATTCTCATCTGCATTTCCTCTGATCTCAAGAATCTTTTCAATTCCAACTTTTTTTTCTTCCTCCTTGTCACTACAAATCAGTGTCTGGATGACAGCTTCAGAATGTGCATACCATACTGATCTTTTTACCACAGGCATCGCTATCTGCATCACTTCTTTGTCTTGGCTTCTCAAAAGCTCACGCTGAAAATGAACATGTCTCGGATCTTCAATGTTTTACTTTGATGTTAAACCAATTAGGCATGTAAACTCCGACTATAAATTCAACAATCATTTTCAAATTTCTATGTGGCATATCTTTCAGACCATGATTGGAATCTGCAAATAATCTGCAATCTGGAGCTGTAGTCAACCATCTTGAGTGACAGACAGGTCCAAACTGTAAGTTCGCAAGCCTCTCTCAGGCAAAACACCAGATCTGATAGCATTAACAATCATCTATCCATAATACTGGTCTGTGCTGAGGTCATCAATCACACTCTGTTTTAATTCAATAAGCAGAGGACCAACAGTTATCTTGATAAAATTTGGATTTATTTCCAGGTCTATTGCATTATCAAGCATCTTACCAATTGGTCCTGATCATCGATTATTGCTCAGTGTTTGACCATCCAATTCTTGAATAAGATGTCTCAGTGGTAATTTATTTATGTGAAAATCACATACCAACCAAACAAGATTTCTGCCAAGCTTTCTTTCAACCCACTGCATCACACCACCATGTCTGCCAGTGTTTGTATTGGTACTGTCACCACCACTAGCCAGAAGCTTATCATCAATATTTTTCTCTTTCAGCCACTCAACAATGTTATCTGGAATTATCTTGGCTGATTTTTTAAACTCGGCAGCTTTTCCAGGAACAAAATGCCACAAATAATTTCCAACTGGTTCACTGATCTCTTGCGCAATTACAATTAATGTGCACATTCTGAAAACGTTCAGCATTATTACATTCATATTCAGAACACAGAAAAATTGGACACTTACAATGAAGAATGTCGAAGAGTTTGTCAAGACCTTCAGTAAACTTTTTTTGTCAAGCGTTCCTCTACCAAGTGACACATCAGTAGCTTTATTTCACAAATTAACGATTCTTTCCTGGATTGTTACTTCATGAATGACAGCAGGATATTTAAACTTAAAATTTGCTTTGGTTCACTGATCAAAGAGAGCAGTCATAATATTTTTGGCTAGTTCTTTATTGGTATAATTTTTTTGTCTTTCTCGCTCAACTGCTTTAGCAATATGCGTATCTTAATAAATCTCTCACAGTTGGTAACTCTGAGGTAAAGATCTCTCTGCCAGACCCCACATAGTGACTAAGATTTTATGTGCGTTAATTGTGGTCTAATTTTACAACATACAATATTAGCTGAAACTGCAGAATCTGATTAAAGAGATGCACTTTAAGCTTGACAAATGCTGGTTTATGAATTTTTCATGATTAATAACATAACTAACAATGGGGTACATTCAACTTAAAGTCATGTTACCCACTCTCCCATAAATAATGTACTATATTTGTATAACTTTCACTCAAAATTTACCAAGCTTAAAGTGCATCCATTCAAAATTGAAAGACACCAACGGAAACAGAACATCAAAAAGCTTCTTTTCCCATGCCCTGGTTTTTTCAAAAAAAAACTTTTTAAAATTTGACACACCTTAGTATATAAGTGTAAAAACTAATGATAATATTATGACGTTAAATATGGACCATTGTCCCGTGTAGCAGCAATACATATGCATATATAAATATGTTACGTTAATACATGCATTGGCATGAAGTTTGGCTGGCTGAAGTGATTCAAGTATTCACGTTCTCCTTACTGGCCCGATCGTTTAAGGATATATTCTCATTTAATAAACATCAGTTTTAATTTGATTAGGCAATTTGTTGTAATTTGTTGCTTGCTTGGAAAGATGGCCTTCGCTAGTGGAAAGTGGTACCTGACATCGTCCGAAAACTTTGGGGCCTACCTCCAAGCTATCGGTTGGTCAGCTCTGCCTTCTCTTATTTCATTCATTATTTCTGTTGTAACAAGTGAAATTTTTTTTAATAATTAATATTTTGAAATTTCACCTCAACACGTCGAGGTGAAATTTCATACAATCTTCTTGCTTGCTACTTGTTACTTCTGAAATCTTATACAAATTCTAACAACGTAGTACGTACACAAAAGCATAGAACAACTTGCCAAAACAACATTGCTAACAATTTGGTAAAAAATATGGGATTGCACGCTATCAAAATAACAACTGAGTAACAACAAAGTAACAACCAAAACTCATCGGCAACACTAAAGAAAGTTTTAATGCTTTTAATGCAACAATTAATCAATGTTGTTATGCTAAACATTAACCCATTATTCATAATTTAAAACTGTTACAACAACCACAGATTAACAACTATCACCACTCAACTCAACTTTATTACACTAACAACAACCAACAGTCGTCAATGCTATCACACCTACCAACAACTAACAACAACAACTAATAACCTCCTACAACAAACACACACGACAAAAGAGCAACCCACAACCACTACACCAGCTGCACACACACACATACACACTCACACGCACAACACATACACACACTAGCTACACACACGCACACCAGCTTCACACATGGAAACCACGAACAGGAGTGAGCGAGGACAACAGGATGCGAGCATGTTCTTTGATGGAACAGACAGGCGAGCATGGCTTCGTGGAAGAGTTCCTGATAGCGAACGATGCCATCAAGAGGATCATCTACATCGGTGGCGAGCAGCAGGGCGATCCAACTCCGTTCGTGCCATTCAACAAACAACTGGACGCCAATGCCCTCGACGGCAGGAAGATCAAGGTGGACAACGCACGACATTGCTCGCGTGCTGAATATCTTTTTGCTCCTGAATATCTTTTCGCTCCGTACAAAAACATTTAAATAATCTTTAAAAAAAGACTTTTTTTATTGTCATTCAGTTTTTATTTGAGAGCTTTCTTTCATTGTTACTTCGGCCGTTGCTAACATTGATCTGATCTACTGACCACTCTGGCTTAGAAATCAAACTATGAGCGAGGCAATCTGTAGACGATGGAATAGATCAGACATTGATGGAGGAGACTTACAGTAACGTGATTCTAGTGAGAACAATTTTTTAAAATGTCCAACAACTTGCACACGACACCGCCAGGTGCTGCTGAAGATGGAGGAGGAAAAGTTGATCCGTGAGGAGAGCGGGGATGGATACAGCAGCCTCATCACCAACACCTTCCAGGGCGACGATAGGGTCATGGTGCGTTCGCCATTTTTTGCATTTGGGTTTTTTTATTTAATTCATTCATTCATTTATACACCCATTCATTCATTAATTACATTCATTTAATTACATTCATTCATGTATAAGTCTCAATCTAAATTATTTCCTAAGTATTTATTAGATATATTAATTGAACCTAAACGCCCCGGTTTAAGATCGTCTTCTTGTTCTCACTTTTTCTTAACTCGTGTTAAACACTCTTTTGCAAAATTTGCTTTTGCTCTTTCTGGTTTTTTTTTCTGGAACTCTCTACCTATTTCTCTGACTACTTCTCCATCACTTGCGAAGTTCAGAGCGGATCTCAAGACCCATCTGTTTTCAAAATTCATTGAGGAGCGCTGTTGAACATCGCGGAAGTAGCGCTTTATATGTTAATTGATCGATTGAATTGATTGATTGAATTACATCGCGATTTTTTCTGCCTAATAAATTATAAGCCACTCATTTCATTAAATATTCATTTATAAGCAAATTTTTATTGATTATTTATTGAAATGACATTTAAACTAAATAAATGTACAGTCGTTCCAAGGTCCTTTTACATAGCAAATATGATCACCAAATGATATCATCCTCAAATGATATAATCCTCCAATGATATCATCCTCCAATGATACCATCCTCCAATGATATCATCCTCCAATGATATCATCATCCAATGATATCATGATATCCGTAAAGTGCACTCAATAAACAGCTAGATTGACAGGTGTTTGTTAAATTTTTAAAATATTTTCCTTACCGCAGGTCTTGAAAACTGGTGATGTAGTCTGCACTAGGAAGTTCAGGAGGTGCCTGTGAGACGTTCCACACCTTTTAAAGATGTTTTCATTTGAATATTTCCATACTCTATGAAACGCTTCCAGACTTTATAAAATGCTTCCAAACTTGCTTCCGAAATTTGTTTTATAGAATTATTTCTTTGTTGGCTGGTAATCTTTGATTACGGGATACACGTTAAGTACCTGATTCATGATATCTCATTATATAATTTGTAGGTGAGTTTACGTGAAATTTTTAGTAAAAATTAGAGTTTAATGTTTCTGTAATAAGTTAAAATATGACATTTGAATGTATAATGAATTGATAATTAATGAAATAGATTGGTACTAAACTCTAATGGATGAATAAATAAACAACAAAAGAATGATTGCTATTCGAACGTGTGTCTTCTTTTATTGAATTTTTTTTTGGAAACCAGTTGAAAAACTGACCTTGACAATTATTAATTTGAAAACCGCCACCTAGTCAAAATTCGACATAATTAATATTTAGGGATACACCGGATTTAGGTTTTTGAGCCGGGGCCGGATTTTAGTTACCATTTTACATACGTTAAAAAAATACTCACATTTACGGTTATCTACATGTTGAACATCAAAAAATAACACCAAGCAAATAGTTAATTAATTCAAGTATATAAATAAGTTGTGTCATATGCCAAATTCTGTGCACAAAGATCAGCTTATAATTTATGCATAACCCATGTTATAGCATAAAGAAAGTTGTCCAGCTCACCTCACAATTAGTGATGTTGTTATTATGTGTCATGTATGCTTAGCCTTTAACTTATTGACATAAATATAATTGAATTCAATGAATTTTTTTCCTATTTATAACATTTTTAAATGAATCCCTATTAATTATTCTCCATTTTAACAAAAAAATTCGTTTTTTTCAATATTCTTACAATGATCCAATGTCCAATAAATGAATACGTTGTTAATCATAGCATCGCTATCATAACGTCATAACAGCATCATCATTATCATGTCATCATCATCATCATAACACCATCATCATTATCATTATCATAACACCATCAGAGTCATCATAACGCCATCATCATCATCATTATCATAACGCCATCATCATTATCATAACACCATCATCATCATCATAACGCCATCATCAGCATCATTATTTAACACCATCATCAGATCATCATCATCATAACACCATCATCATTATCATAACACCATCATCAGATCATCATCATCATAACACCATCATCACATCATCATCACATCATATCATCATCATAACATTATCATAACAACACCATCATAACATCATCACAACACCTCCAACAATATCACCATCATCGTCGCAATATTATCGAAACTTATTAGGACATCATCATCATCATCATCATCATCATCATCAACTTTACCGTCATCATCATCCTTATCACCAACTCACCATGCTCCATATTTTCACCAGCAATTTTTTTCTTCTCACAGTAGCACTAATTAATTTTAATCATCTTTGTTAGTTATTTCCTCATCGTTATCATCACCACTATCATTACCATCACCACCATCATTATCATCATCACATTACCATAACATTTTTAACATTTTTTTTATCAAGAACAAGAAAATGATCAACTTCTTTAAAATAGGGTACGGACAACAAGAAATAAATATAACACTTTTTCAATTTATGTTTTATTGCCTGCGCTAAAAATTGAGTTTGAAAAACCATTTAAAAACTCTCGAGTGAAGAGGATAACCACACGAAACAGCATCAATAGTCATTACAATAGCATCTGCTCCAAGCCACGTCATTCTGTCGTCACATTTCTTAACGTCACAAATCATCACATCATGTTACATCACATCACATCAGGTTACATCACATCAAATCATGTTACATCACATCGCATTACATTACATCATATTACATCACATTTTGTTCTCATACCATCGTATCAAAACATCACATCATCATATCCCATTATCACATTACATGACACCATGTTCCATTCCATCACATCACATCTCATCACATCCTCACATTTCTTTGCCACATGACCTAACATCATCATCATCATCATCCAGGGTCACGTGATTGTTACAACATTGACCTGACCGTTCTTAACATGTAACAGATTTAACATAATCGTCATTATCACCATTCCCAGTGTCATCACAATCACTACCATCACCACCACCATCATCGTTATCACTCCTGGTCAGCTGGTACCTCCTGTCCATCGCATCCTTCCACAGTCCTGATGCTGTCATGGAAACCCTTCCAAACCTCATCATCTCTTATGCAGAGGGCACCCCCACCCCGGGTGGCTTGTGAGGCCTTCGTAGTGATGGTAGCAATGGTGGTGGTGGTGGTGGTGGTGGTGGTGGTAGTGATGGTAATGGATTGAATGATTGTGATGTTTTAAGGATGATGATGTCGTGGGTGTTAGTGGTGAGAACGATTACGTTGGTCGAGATGTTGACGACGATGGTGGTCGGTCGTGATAATGATCTCGATTGTGATGGTAATGATGTTGAAAAACTGAACGAGCGCATTTTCAAAGTGCCCACGCAGTCACAACATTATCAAAACTAACGAGCAGAACCCACGCAAAATGTGTAATTGTTCGCCTGTGTGTGTGTGTGCATGCATGTGTGTGTGTATTATGTGTAGGTATGTATATGTACGCATGTAGGTATGTATGTGCTTGTACGTATGTGTGTATGTTGGTATGTGTGTATGCAAATGCGTGTACTCAAGTATGTACGTGAGTGACGACTGTGTGTGTTGTATTGATACTTATGTATTCATAAGAGTGTGTCTGTATTTGCACGTGTAAACATTTGTTTGTTTTTTTTTGTGAATTACCGAAATACAATCCTACCTGTCTGTTTATATCCCCGATGCAAAACCATCTGTCATTCTCGCTGAAGTCCATCTTTCTATCATCGTCATCATCCTTTCCAACAGTTCCTCCTCCTCCTCCTCCTCCTCCTCCTCCATCCTTCACCTTCCTGTTTTCCTTAGTTTTTCCTTTTTTTATGTAAATTTTTATATTTGATAGCCCGGCCGCCATCTTGTTTATGCTAATCATCGTCACCATCATCATTATTATTATTATCACCACCATCATCATCATTATCATCATCATCGTCACCATCATCATCATCGTCACCATCATCATCATTATCACCACCATCATCATTATTATTATCACCACCATCATCGTCATCACATCATCACCATCATCATTATCACCGTTATTTTCATCACCATCATCATCATCCTCACGTCATCATCATCATCACCTTTACTACTTTTGTTCCTTGGCTTCCTTTTTGTCCTCTTAGACTTTTCTGATGTTTCTTTGCGGTACTTTGGAGGTGAGCCGGAGTTGATCAGGTTGGCGAGCTCCTGCTGTCTCATTGGGGTATGTTTGTTTGTTTGTTTGTTTGTCTGTTTGTTTGTTTATGTATTTGTTTGTCTGTCTGTTTGTTTGTCTGTCTGTTTGTATATTTGTTTTTGTTTTCTGTGGTTGAATTGCTGCAACGGTTGTTTTACTAACAATGTAGTTGTACGTTTATTTATGTTTAATAATAATAACCAAAAGACAACAACTTTGTGGCTGAAGAAAAAAAAAATGTTTGCCAACCTCGGCATAACCTGGAGCATCAGTGACGTCATCCTTTAAATCTACTTTTAAAAATTTCAGCTTCCTCCTTTCTCTTCCACCTCTTCCACTTTTTTTCTTCCCGCCATCCAATCCCCCCACCTTCCCATTCCCATTGGCTAGGTCGGTGACTGCCCACTTGGAATGATCCTTGGAACTTTTGAACGCCATTCCGTCAAAGTCCAACGTCTTTATGTTCTTCACCTGGTCCGTTATATCCCAGTTGTTAAATATATTTATAACGCTCAAAACGAAGACACTTATTAATTAATTAATTTGTTAATTAACTAACTAACAATAACCTAGTTTGCATAGTTTACTTTTATAAGATTGTTGGAGCTAGTTAACATCAACAAGACAGTAACAACAACAACGACAACAACAACGACGACGACATGAACTCACGGTGTACTTAACTTTGCAGGCAGAGTTCAAGTTCTTTTGTCCATTCATCCATGATTGCACGAGGAGGTTGTTGCGAAGGGTCGGCGAGATCAGGTCCTCGTACAAATCTGTGGTTGTGGTTGTGGTGATTGTGGCTGCTGTCGTGGCTGTTGTGGTGGTCGTGGTGGTTGTGGTGGTCGTGGTGGTCGTGGTGGTTGTTGCTTAACGTAGTTGTTAGCTGACATTATTGTTTGATGCTATTGTTGCTTTAATGGATGTTTTATATTTTTATTGTGCTTAGTTGTCAGCGTTCATCTTGATGATTGCTATTATATGAGTAATGAATGCTATTAAAATGTTGAACATTGTTAACCAGGTGTACTATCCAAACAGCTCTATAAGTCTTTTTTTTATTTTTTTCAAATTCAACCAAGAACTTATTTGAGTGGGATAAAATTTGTCGTTGTCCTTTGCTTTTATAAATCTCAAAAAATGTTCTTTCTCAAATGAGTGACAACCTTTTCCGAAATTTCGACTTTTTGCGAAGGATACAATCTTGGTACCAGCCATCGTCGTTAAGGTCTCCATGTTCGAGAAGTCCTCATCAACCACTTTCTTCAACTGAATGAGTTTTGCATTTATACACAACACAAGATAGCATGGCGTTGTTGTATAACAAATTTAATGAATTACATTGAAATCCTAATCCTCTCAACACGAAGTCTTCCAAGAGTTAGTTTGATAATTTTTAGGTGAGTGAAATTATAGAGAAAAATTACAAAAGTAAACAAGAGAGATTTTAATCAATAAAAGCTAATATGCACGACAAGCCACAACATACAACAACCTGCAACAACATACAACAACCTGCAACAACCTGCAACAACATACAACAACCTGCAACAACATACAACAACATGCAACAACCTGCGTCAACATGCAACAACATGCAACAACATGCAACAACGTGCAACAACTTGCAACAACTTGCAACAACATAGTCACCTTAGCCCCTTTAACGAAGGCCCATATACTCTTATGTTCCACTGCAAAGTCGTTTGATGAGAAGGAGTCATAAACTTGCGGACGCATGTAATCCATCTGCAAACCTTCAAACAAAAGCAATTCAATCAACAACTAATATATTATCGTTAGTTAACGTAATGTAACGTGAAAATTGCACTCAGATGAAAGGTGATGTTATGCAAAGTAATGCAATCTAATGTTATCACAATACAAACCAATCTTCTCAAGCTGGTCACTGTTGAGTGACAGGCAGAGCATGACCTGTCCATTTATGGAGGCAGATTTTGGGTAAGTGTACCCCTCCCTGGCAGGTGGTGGATACCTCGGGATAGTGTGCACCAGCCAGAACCCCGTCTTCCTATCAAATGCCAATGCACCTGTTCCAAAATTCCTCATTTAATATCCCTACGATAATTTGAAATTAAAAAAAAACTCAAATGGATAGAGCAGACTGATTTTCACATGTAGGTTAATAAGTGATTGAACTTTAAATTTTCAAAAATGAACAATCGAAACGCGAGAAATTATGAAGCAGAAGCGACAGACCCTTGGCGTGAGCTCTGTATGACGACTGCTTCCTCTCTCCAGGTGTGTCGTCATTGTACAGCAGGTACAAGAAGGAGTCCATCTTTATTTACATGTTTAGAAACATTTTAATTAATTAATTAATAATTAATTGATTGAGTAATTAATTAATTAATTGATTGGTTGATTGATTAATTAAGTAATTACAACTACGCTGTTAAATATTAATTATTATTTATTCGATTAATATTTATGTTGAGTTATTTAAAGTAATTTTAGAAATAATATTAAGAATAAAAATAATATTGATTAATTAGGTCTTATCAGTATTATTATTAATAATAACATTATTTTTATCATTGTTGATATTATTATTGCTATTATATTATTATTAATATTGTAATTGATGGTGATGACGATGATAATAATTATTAAGTTATCATCAGAACAATTGTTAAGGGAGTTTCTAAAATAGTTCTATGCACTGTACTTTAAAGTACAACGTGTAATGTAATTTGTGTATTAAATAAATACGTCTGTAATATGTTTCAACACGTATAATTTCTGTATCAATGCATCATCTAGGTATCTGTCTATTAATTTGTACATATGATATGTATAAATGCATGTAATCTGTCTATTAATTAGTATCAGTATGAATTAGTATATGAATTATGAGTTGATGTAATCAGGTGCACTAACATCAGGTGTTAATGCATGATTTGAATTTGAAAATCAATTTATTTGGCAAAAAGCACAGGGGATCAAAATACTTAAGCATGGACACTAATATCACGTATCAACGTGTAAATGTAAAGACTTGTTTGGGCTTAACGTTATTTTGTTTGTTTGTTTCATTGTCCTTATTCTTCATATTAGTTCGTTCGCACGCTCGTTCGTTCGTTCGTTCGCACGCTTTTTCGTTCGTTTGTTCGCACGCTCGTTCGTTCTTTTGGTATGCATGATATGGTATGGTATGGTATGGTATGGTATGTATGGTATGGTATGGTATGGTAT